CGGATTATGATAGTGATTAGAGTTTTTACTAACATGTTTAAAAGAAGGCAGTTTTATGGTGATAGTTCCTTCTAACTGGTTTATGACTACATTCTCAAGTTGTAGTGTGTGGTGAGCCTCGCTGCGATTTCACTAATGCGTAATAACCCGAAGAATGCAAGTGAGAACATGGCCGCAATCAAGTTTGTTTCGTACGCCGATTGGATGCATCCTTGAAGATTTTGGATCAATGTGTTTAAAACCGAGATAGTGATTGGGGACCTCGAGTCCTGAGAGGGGTTTTTCCTCTCTATGCCTTGAACAGTTTGTCTTACTAAAAAAGTTGAAATTGGATCAGGCATGTGTGCCATCTTGTACTTGTAGCTCAGGGCGGAGAGGTGCGTCCTGATGGATGATGGTTTGTAGCGTTCACTGAGGAACTGTGTAAACAATGTTGTGACGGTATGGTCAGCAGGGAATGCTTTTAGGCCCGTTTGTTGCGTAAAATCCGCTAAGAGAGAGTTGATTTTGCTATATGTCCTCCTGGTGTTTTTGGTGAGGGCAGCTTCCAGGTTACTGTTCAAATCTTCAGTAAGCTGTTTAGTGATAACGCTGCAGGAATGGGTGTAGGGTGATGATCCGCTTGGGGGCACAGTCTCCTGAAGGCCTGTGAATTAGATTAAGATAAAGCGTCATTCTCCGGTCGATAGAGTTTTTGAAAACCAACGTTTTCTGGGCGTTAAGTAGATGAACAAGGCCAAAAACAACTTTATTTTGTAGGCATTGTTACTGCTAGGGAACCATATTGCATGTTGTTGGGCCTTGGGGTAGTTCTTGACCTATACAGGGTATGCAATGTAAGGTTTATCTGAACGGAACCTACATTCCTCATGCTGTTTATGCTACGGCAAAAAAGCGCCGTGTGACAAATTAACTAGCTAGTGGCGAGTGAAAAGTGAATAAACAGGCAGTAACTTACCCTTTGACTAGTAGCGATCGGTCTAACATCACACATGCCTAACCTGCAGCACATTATCCAGTATTGTACTCTGGTGATAGTATTAAGTCGAGTTAGCCTAGAAAACAATTCGAGTATAAATTCCATTTCATTTTCTATTTTTTGCAGGTCTCCACTTAACATAACATTTAAGTGATAGTTACCAGTTACTGCTTTAGCCAAGTTTGTCAAGCGGTCTTTTTGGCCTTGGAATATTGAACTATATTTAGAACTAAAAGCTGCAAATGCTCTCAGGGCCTTTTGTTGCCTAGTCTGCAATATATGGACATGTTCAATTACCTTATTCAACTGATCATCCGTGGCAACTCCAAAGAGATTATTTGCCACTTTGCCAATGGTTGGCAGAACTGCCCTTTTTCGCCTATCCCCCCTATAATTTGTATCATTGCCTAAATCATGGTTTTCCTCAAATAATTTATCTGCTTTGTGTTGCAGGGCTCTTAACTCCGTACTAGTTTGGTGGTATAAACGCATACCCTCATCTATCGCCCTATCAACAATCTTACATATTTTTTCTTCGAATCACCTAGCCCAATTGTAACCAAAAATAGACTCAGAGGGGAGGGTTGGCAAATGAATTATCATGGTATGCAGCCAATAATCTTGCGCAAATTTGGCTGTTCCCTTATTTTGAAGTATTATGCCGTTGTCGATCCTGGCTTGGGCCAGGGTACAGGGGATTATTGACAGCATCAACCCGAAAGGATTGGCCAATCCTATGGTTTCAGGCCAAGGTCCTAGAGAAAGAGAAAAGACGGAAATTTAAGGGGTTGTTCTATACCAATCTCCCTCTTATGAACGAAGTTTACGTCTTCTTTTTTTTCCTTTTTTCATTCTGTTAGCAAGAAATTCTCTAATTAATGCATTGGGCACTCTTTATGCCCTTACCCGAGTTGACTTCTTGGCATTTTTCCATTTAATCCTATAACATTTTTCACCTTTATACCATTCGTAACATAGTATTTTCTCAGCTTCCTCAGGCTTTGGATTATCGCATGCTACAGTATTGGGAACAATGTTTGTAGTTTTATCCTTGTTTATGCTTGATTTGATGTTATCATCATCTTGTTCATTAGCTTGGCTGGCTGTAACATAATGATCTACCTGTTCATGTTGTGTTTCATTTTGCTCTTGAACTTTGGTATCATTTGTAGGTACATTTTGTGGAGCTTGGTCACTAAATTCCGTGCGTATGAAATAGGGTCTTTGTAAATTTTCAATCGGTTGGCATTTACGGGGGCCCTCAAAAGTTTATTGGCGCATTCTCTAAGCTGGTAAGTTGCATCTCCTAGTACCTTAACAGTATAGTAAGGCCCTAAGAACTTCGGACTGAGCTTTGCCAATAGACCCTTTGGTGTCCTCTCATTTTTCAACATTACTTTATCCATTAGGTTTGTTCCTTAGCCTTACGCTGGTGGTGCTAAATGTTCTGGTCTCGCGTCATCTTAGGCCAATAATAGAGAGTTGTGGCAAGGCCTTCCGTATAACGTGTAACGTATAGTTGAATACGTAATACGTTTTACGTACGCAAGAAAGCTAGCAGTGGTTTTGGCAGGTCTCACTCCGTATGCGGAGTATGCGTATGCGTATCCGTATCCTTTAGCAACATCTCGTCTATGTCATCAGTAAAAATTATGGATTATTTCTTGGCTGACATACTGACTTTCCTGACTTTATTAGCTAGGCTATTATATTATGATTATCTGCAATTCAAAGAAATAAAATGATAAGGGTAAAGGCCTATATATATATGGATTACACGAACATGGGGCTGCTTGTGGATTCTTTTTAGATAGATGAATAATTAAGATGTTGAATGGAATGTGTTATTTACGTCAATTGATGCCACAAATCCTGTTGTTTATGAAAAAAAATCAACTTAAATTGAATTTGATACTACTATGGACGACTGATTGACTGGCTGTTTTTCCAGCTGTTTTCAGAGAGTATTTCTACCGACAGCATCTAAAATTGATTCAGTGGAATCTTAACACCCTATATATTCCTCTGCAGTATGTTAAACTTGAAAGAAATAAGTCTAAATCTATTAAATTCGCTACGTTTCTTATCTACGTGTAATCACTGATTCATACGTAGTGCCGTATGACTTATGACTTGTCTTTGAGAAAAACTACGCACAAAGTGATGACGTCGCACGTTATACGTCGTACGGAAGGCCTTGCCAAAACTCTCTAATATTTCAACTTTATTCTCTCAATACACCTGCGGAATCCTGGATGACATGCTCCTATCTTGGAGTCATGATAGGCTCTCAAAACCTTATCTCTGTAATGCTTTGGCACCACTAACTGATCTATGATGGTCTCATCCCCCGCTTCCTTTCTCTTACTATTCTGATGCCGCCTATAAAGTATTCCATCTTTCAAAAAGAAAAAATTTTTCGAGGTGTTCCTTTTCCCTTGGAATTTCAGCTAAAATACTAGCTCTGATACATATATGACCTTGAGCAATACTTTTCAAGGTCCTTTAATTACAAAAATATTTAAGTTTTGCTTGCAAACTTTGTTTGACCCCCTCCCCCCTTTTTTTTGTGGAGATAACTGTCCACAAATTTAATTGGAGGAACGTTTTAAAATCTTGTGCTAATGATAGTCACATACGATCATCTGCCTGTGCTGATCTCTTGGAATCGTGTAGGTACATGCAAAATATGCTTTTAGAAATAAAATGGCTTCCCTGTTGACATGAATATTGTCAATTGTAAAACCAAATGTTCCATGAGAAAAACGTAATTATTTTGGAAATTAACTGTCTTGGTTTAATAAATAGTTCATGGTAATATTGCATGATCAAATGATACCTTGTGCTAAACACAAGTGCATTATTCAGGGTAACTGACCAATCAGAGGCCTTGAATTCTACAAGAGGTATAATTTTGGGTAACCTTTTTCTCACATTAGAATTCCTTTTTTAATAAATGACTGTCCTTAATTTTGATTTAGTACTTCATAGATATAATTGAACTGTTGAAATGAAAAAAATCATTTATTTAAAAATACATTACTGTTGCACTTGCACAAGTTTATTTTATCAATAAAATTGTATTAACACAATTAAAAATTGTTATTTTTAATATTGAAAAATAAGTAACTTTATACAAAATTACCATCGTAATGGATGACTTGTTTTTCAATTTGCCAAATATGCAAATTTAAATGGATCAAACATAATTGTTTTTCTTTTCCACTGGTAATGATGAATAATAGTTCATCATACCAGTACAGGGCTTCAGTCAACAAGTTCCACATTTTGAAGTTGATTGTGGAATTAGAAAGGGTCACAGCTTTATACTATCAATGACAACTTTATGTCATATAAATTAAAGGTACATACGAACTGAGCATCGGTGAAGCTTGGATTCCCAGTAACACATATAAACCACTTCTACTAGTTTTTTATACGACTCAAATAAGTTTGACACTCTAAGGGATAAACTGAATAGATCACTCAATCAGCCATAAAAGAGCTTTAGACTGCTCCTTTCTTTAAATTTTTGGTCGGAAATTTAACCTACTTTCACGACTACTTTTCTGCTCCATTGACATACAGCATAGAATGCTAACATAAAAATCTGTTCAAACATCATTTTCGGGTAAAATTGAACATTGCCTTTTGGTAATTCTCTTAGTTATGCTACTTGAAACTATATGCTGGCATTTGGTCAGTTTTTGTGGCAAAAAATTGACTTAGAATGCATCTTTAAGAAATTATTCACTTTGATTATACTTAACAAGTCAAAAAAAGCTGATTTTAATATTAGCATTCAGTAGAATAAAGAAAAGGTGACAATATTTTAATATTTATTGATAAAACACTTTATTCTTAAATAAACAAACCACTTTCTTGCACTTATCCCATTAAAGGGGATAACAACTGTTCATTTTGGCCAAAAAATGAATTTTCCTGGGGTAAACAACAATTTGCCCATTCATGCCAATGGTTAATGAACCCATTTCTACATTTAAAGTAAGTCCTCGTTTTTAAGTTTTTTGTACAGCCATCTATCGAGGTCACATGGTACAATGGCAAGCATAGATTTCAGAAAATTTGCTTTTACTTCAGTTTTTTTGGTGAAATAGAATATATTATAAAATGTTTTTATTGTGAAATATAGATCACATACGAAGAGTTGTTATGATCCCTTTAGTCTTTTATCATAGATAACAGTCTTCGGGGGAAAGAAATGACTTATCATTAATAACCTTGTACAGGATAAAAATTTTAAAAAATTAATCTGTAGTTCTAATTTACAATAGTAAATCATGCTTGATTTTTAATTTGCCAAATATGCTATTGATCAAGCTTCTTGCTTTGGTAATGACCCATATTAAGGGTTGAGTTTTTTACTCCAATATCACAGCTAGTAGTCTCCTTCAAAGTCATGAACTATAATATCTTCATAGTATTCCTCCTTTGCAGTAACACTACCTGATAAAAAGAGATTCAACTGTTTAAAGCATGACAAGACCATGTTGATATAAATACGTGGAACACAAAGTAAGTTGTGGTTAAATGAAAACAAAGCAACAAAAATAGCCATAGACATCATCCAATTTATACGCCAGAATAACAATATTTCTGAAGACATACATAGCATGCAGTGTACGTGGTACTGTAATCTTGTTTGTAAGTTTGATTTATTCAAGAACAGTTCAAGAAAAATATGATTTTAAATTTTGATAGCCAACTAGTACAAGAACATTAAGAAAAGCACGTGAAGGATATGGTTTGAAAACTTGTTGATTAAGAAGAGATTGTAAGTGCATTTGCAGTGTGTTAAAGGAAACTTACTGTGCTTTATTATGATTCTGAAAAGAACAAAGGAAAGGGTTCAAGCAATATGTATGTCTCAAGGTAAAGTGTCCTTTTACAATGATAATTCGACTTACAACACATTCTACTAAGGAAAGGAATGATTAAAATAATAGTGCAAAAAGAATTAGTGAAATACAGAAATATTTATAAATCTACTTAAAGCGTTAAGACAGATGGTCTTCAACCCTTGCCAGAATTTATTTTCTTAATTACTGATAAAACCTACAAACAACAAAACTACCCTAAAAGGCAGTAAATGTCACCTATGTTTTGTTCTTGATTTTTTCCCTGTAAGGCAACAAGGACTCTCAATCCTTCAATTTCTTGTTTCAATTTGTGGTATTCCTGCAATCAAGTTGAAAATGTGCACTTCAAAGTTCACGTGAAGGTTTCATTAAAAAATTAATTGAATTTCTACAAAGGTGACACTTTTTTTTCACAAAAAGAATGTTATTCTAAGAAAAGTGAATTAAAGGAATAAAAATATAAGTACTACTGACAACTGATTTTTATTATATTCTTTTTTTTTTCAAAATGAAAAAAAAATACTGCATTGGGCACTGGTTTTGTAAGTGAAAAATATACAATTGATCCCAGGAAACCCTTGAAGGGATAAAGCAGACACCTTGAATGCTCTTGTTTTTATGCTCAAAAATAGTACAAACTATGGATTTCATGCTACCTCCCCCTTAAAAAATGATCAGTCCATAAGTTTTAATTGTTATACATGTTAAGCAATATGTTAAAAAAAATGTTACAGTTGCTGTTCTTGTACCAACTTATTAATTTTGTATGGCCTTATCTACCTAAAGCATGCAACCTGTTTGATTCATATGAGACCTCCCTGTTTTAATTACAAAGCCATTATAGTCTTTATAAACTTACAACAAGACACTTATCCAAAGTATCCAAATTTTCACTGTTTGTTCCATCAGTTTCTTCTCCATTATGAGTACTATCCTCCTTCGATAATGATAGGTGGACTTTTTTTGACATATAAAACCCTGCTTCTTCAAATATGTGCCTCAATTCTTTATTGTATCCCTAAAAATGATCAAATATTAAAATATTACTATTACAAAGGCAGTTTACCTAGGGCAAGGATGAAACTGAAAAAGTTGGAAACATGGCATGGGGTCATTGGCTCTCAAAAAGTTTGAAATCTGCCGATAGTTTGAAAAATCTTATCCCTGTTAGGTACCTTTAAAATAAATAAACAGGTATTATTGCAATTAAACAATCAGCATAAAATGGCCAGTTCATTCTCTAGCCAAGACTATCTGCCACTGACAACAAGGACAATATAGCTTTACATTCTTTTAAATGCAAATGCTAACAATGTGAGTTTTAACATTTAAATTTTAAAAAACTATAACGCTAAATCAAAATTGTCAACCTTTGATGTCACTTCCTCATTGAGAAAATCTCCCTCCAGCAAGTTCCACTTCTCCCTGAGCTCAGGACTCAGCACTGGGTACACCAACATTGAATGGTCATGACACACCAGTGGCGTGGAAAAGTTTAACAGGTATTTACAGGTCTCTGGTTCGGTTACTTCAGTGATTTCATTTGTTTTGCCACAATGAAAAATAACCTGAATAAAAAAGATATTGTTTAGTGTGAAAGATATGCATGGTGTTACTCCATTTCTCTTTTTGTTGTTGTCGATAAACATAAAGGATATAACTGTATGTTCTGTAAGTTCTATTACATTGGATATTCAATCTTTCTTGGCACGTTGAAAAGTACTTGAAATTTTCACTTATTTTATTCATTGAATTTAGTGTTAATGCTTCTTAAATCATATTGTTTCCCAATTTTCTCTTTTTATGTTTAAGAGATTGTAAGTAGAATTAAAATTTTAAGTTAAGTTTGAAATTTGTCTTACTTTTACAGATCTGTGCAAGTCTCCACAGTCATCACCATTTTTCATTAACATGGCAATAAATGTGTTGTTTTTAATCTCCCACTCTTCCCAAATTCTGAAATCAAATTCTTAAATTATGAGTAATCAGGAAAATATTCAACAATGTAAATATTCACTTTCAAAAGCCATGCACTAAACATCAAATTTCCATAAAGCTGAAACTTGCCCTCATAATGATTACAGATAAATGGATAACAACAGTTCGTTTGGCTAAAACTTTCCTGGGGTATGATTTTCCCACATATGGCTTTTTTCTAAAAAGTTTTTTTTTTTTTGGTAAAAATCTTGTTAGAGATTATTACCAAGGTATAGCCATTTTTGAAGGTCCACATGGTCTGATGGTAAGCCCTCATTCCAGAATAATTGGTGTGAGAACTGCTGTTTAGGTGGGAAAATGGAATTTATTATATTTCTACGAGTTGTTTACAATATTTTTATTGTGATTCTCATATGAACAGCTGTTATTCCTTTGAATTTAGTATGCTGAATATATTGTCCTTACCCTAGAATTCCACTATATGGGTTCCACCTTAATGCAAGTTCATGCTGAGTTAGGTTGATAAATGGGCAGAATTCATATCTATAACTGAAAAATGAAAGGCAACTTAGTTAGAAAATGATATTAAAAAGAAAAAATCAGTAAGAAGTTTATTTATTAAATTAACTTCATCTAGATGCAGTGTTGTATAATCCAATTGTTTTTTATTGGGCCATCTTGCTATGAAGCATCATCTTAAATTACATTTGACTGAAAAAATATTCAAAAATTTACCCAAGCAATGAATTAAATAGGTATATTAAACTTTAATAAAATTTCAAACATTTTGTAATTAAAACTTATTTAAGATACATTGAGATGGTACTGATAAATTATATACAAAAACATGATGTTTACTTTTCATCTAATTTTTCAAAACATTTTCCATAAAGTCTTTTCAGATGTGGTGGTCCTGAAAAATTGGCAGGTTTCACCTTTGGAGTAAGTGAATGAGTTTGAGAATCTTGACCATAGCTGCTTCTGAAAACGTAAATTATTTAATGGTATCAATAACTTCATAAAAGTATGACTCAATGGAATATATGAAATCAGGAAGAAGTAGCAATGTAAACCTCATGGGAAACAGAACTAAATTATTAATCAAAAATAGTAGTATTAAACATTGAATGCAAGTGCATGGATAATTTCTTATCAAGGAATATTTGATTTTTTGTGAATATTTCAGATAGGATATCTATAATGTGTATATGAAATATAATAAGCCATTTCTAGTCTACAAAGCAGTATATAAAATCAACCAAAAACAAACATCTAAATGATATGGTTCATGTTTTTTACCCAAAATTTGATGGCTCTTCAACAATTTTCATAGAGATCTTTTCTAACTGTCCCCCTGAAACAACAAAAATAAAGACGTCTGTATTGAAAAATTCAGGCTGCCAAATTTCAACAAAAATAGATGCAAAAATTGGTGTTACAAGTAACAATATGTTGACTTTCAAAACATTTACAAACACTAGATAACAAACATTTTATATGTATCTGTACTTATGCTTTTATTCCCCAAACAATTATTTGGTGTAAACATGAAGACAAAAATAAAATGTCGGTTGAAGGCTTAGCTAATAGGCAATTTCTCCCAAAATACCAAACATTCTATATTTCACCTAAAAATTGGCCAAATTTCTTAATTAAACGAATGTATATTTCCGTTTCAAATAAGACACCTGCACACCCCCCCCCCCCCCCATAGTATTATTGCACCTCCCCTTTTGCATAGAAATGGGCTGATGCTTATGCTTTTGTAATGATATTATCGAAACCAGCAAGAAAATTGATATTAACGATATTATACTTAAACATTTAAGCCAAGGGCGATTACCTTTAAAAGATAAATATAACACAAATATGCACAAAATCGTATTCACATCCTGCGCCATCACGTCACCTTTTGTTGATATCTCGCATGTTCACACGCTCTAGGTGAGTTGTCCAACCTGTTAACACGAGCCAATATGAAATATTTAGGTAAACAACACGCTTTATTTTGTACAACCAACTATTCGTTGCCTTTGTGGGATCTTTTGGTCGTAAGACTGTCCATTTTTTAATAACTTAACAAGATAATCACGTGACTGAAATTCGGTATCCAAGATGGCAGCGCCCATGAAAATCACACACATCGTATACTGCCGTTGCAATCACGTGCGCTTGCTCGTTTACTAGTTACTGTTCTGATTGCCCGATCCCTATTATTCACTCTAGCATAGACACGGGGAAAATCCTCTTTTCAGCAAATGACATAGAGTACTGCCGACGGTAAATCCCCAAATGTTTTTAATGACACTAATTTGACAGGTGCCATGTCCTTACGGCTTATCTGTACCAGTACATTAACCTTAGACTAGTGACTGTGTCTTTCTCGATACTTACCACATTGAAGGACTTTTTGGCTTGTCTGTCAAATATAGAGATGAAGAAATTGGGCTTGATCCAGAAATGGTTGCATTTGAGCTTGCATTTCGAAATCGGTTGCTTGAATTTAAAAGTTTGATTTAAAGTAAAAACATTTGGCTGATGCATTTACTCATGTATTTGATTTGTGTATATCCTTTAGTTTTAGGTATATGAAAAAATGCCTGGAAAGCACAAACATGGCAATAAACACATTGCCTCATCAAACAAGCGCAATCAGCAGAGACACAAGAAGTATGGTGAAGACAGGTTCTCTCAGGATTTGAGAGATTCTTTGGATGGTAAGTTAATTGTAAAAGTCACAGTGCACCAGTCTGTTTCAAAGGGGTGCATCTCAATAGTTTAAAGGTTCTTTGAGACACAGTACATAGTGTAATATAGGTGTTCTACTAATATATGCACATATCCAAAAGGAGATTTGATATTGAAAAGGATTTTCTTTGGTGCTGTTGAATATGTCTTTAATATAAATTTTCTTACAAATAAATCTATCTTCAGACCAACAAATCTTTTGAACTAAAAACCTTCTAACTTTCTTATCAGTTTCAGACCTATTAATCTGGTATTTGTTTTAACTTGTACACTTGTGCATGTTCTGTTCTATAAGACACAGAAGACCCAACTGGCCATGTGAAGTTCCCATTCCCAGTAGCCATGTGGGATTTAGAACATTGTGATCCAAAAAAGTGCAGTGGAAAGAAACTGTCAAGACTGGGATATGTTAAGACACTTCGTTTGCAGCAAAGATTCAGTGGAATAATATTGACACCTATGGGGACACGTTGTGTGTCTCCAGAGGATAGGTGATTGTTCATTTTATTACTGATTTAATGCCTTGTTAGATTTGATTACGTTATTTAGATTCCATGCCATGTACATGACATGTATTATTTTAAAATCATGTTGGTTTTGATAACTATGCACATTACAAAAAAGTTTCAATTCACCATATTACTTTGTAGAATGAATTTCCCTGGTTTTTCAATTTTCTTATCACAATGTTTCCAAAAAGGTTACAAGAATATTTTGTAGTGTCTGTATATAACACATTTAGAAAGCAAGCTTGTTTTGAATTTTTTTCTTCATCTTTTAACACATGGAACTTTTCATTCTGTGATTGCTTTTATTTCAATCAACAGGCAAATCATAACTGATCATGGTCTGGCTGTTGTTGACTGTTCTTGGGCTAAGCTTCAATCCACCCCCTTCAGTCAAATGAGAGGAGGTCATCCTAGGTTATTGCCATATCTAGTGGCAGCAAATCCCATCAACTATGGAAAACCATGCACTCTGTCTTGTGTAGAGGCATATGCTGCTACATTGTACATTTGTGGTAAGATACAATTTATTTCTTTATTCATTTGTTTATTTTATTTTATTTATTAAAAATGTGTAAAGAATTTAAAATGTGTAAAGAACCAATGAAGAGTAGTAATGAAAAAAATTCATTTTTGACATCTTTGATAAGTGTAAGATACATTAATTATATTGACACCCTTCCAACTTGCCCCTGAAAAAAAGGTAACATATTTGAAGAACAGTCATCAGTCATCTTCTTCATTTCCAGGTTACAAAGATTTAGGTTCAAGTCTCCTCAAACAATTCAAGTGGGGCAAAACATTTTTTGAGATAAACCAGGATGTTTTGGACATGTATGCTGCCTGCAAAGATGGTTCAGAGGTTGTAAAGGCCCAGCAGGAATACTTGGAGAAAATAATGGCTGAAGATAAAGAGAGGGTTGATGAAGGCAAGTGTAGTTCTCAATGAAAAAGTGTGTTTGTGCCCTTAATTAATTGTGGATGAGACTGACTGACAAGTCTCCACTGGTTTTGAAATACAACTTCTGCAATAAATAATTTTCCCTTCTTGTTAAAACTGCTGATAGTTGTTTGCACAGGGGGATTTGTTTTGTTGCAATATTTGTTAAGGTTACACTGGATGATATTCATGATATTGAAATAACACATACATTTAATTTTCCAGATCCATTTGATATAGACTTAAGTAAAGAACACTTCAATCCCAATCGGGACTTTCCTCCTTCAAGGTAAACATATATATTTTAAGCAGTAGCCAAACCTGATTTGGATATGATGATGAGAACTAGGATTAAGTGAAATACAGAGATAATGGATTGTAATTTTTTGTTGGGGAGGGGGGATCTTTGGTATGTGCTAGAATATTGGAAGCTCAGAATAATTTAGTTATTACAATTTTTTCCACAATCTTGTTTAAGTGTCCTTTGACAAAAAAGGATAGTTTAGTTTTGTCATTTTTTTAAAGTTATATTTTAGCACTTTTGTAATTAAACTTGACCGAAACACATAAAATAAATGTTTCTCTTCCTTTCAGCTCTGAAAGTGAGGAGGACGAGGAGGAGGAAGAGGAGGGCAAAGAAGAAGATGATGAAGGCAATGACCCCATTACATTTAATGAAGATGTTCAAAAATGTGGATGTGCAGGAACTATTGAGGAAAAAATTCTGCCAGCAGGGACAGACAGTGATGAAAGAAAGTACAATGATACATTAGAGAACAGACTTCAGCAAGACACGCCTTCTACTGATGCTGCCTTGGATACTTCAAAGGACTCCTCTCAAGAGGCCATGGGATCAGGAGCTGTTGGCAGAATAAGCTCAGACCCACATTGACAGGCTTGGTGCATTCACCTGTGTCTAAAGAGATGGATGATAGACCAGGTCTTTGGTGGTGCTGAAAGGGATAAAATGGAAGAAAGAATCCATACCTACAGTGTATATTGTACAATCTAAATTTGAATTAAATATGTTGCATTAAAGTTCATTGTTTCACATTGTTTTCTTGAATATGGTGCTGTAGTAATGCATAACAATAAGTGAAATGTCTCAGCTTCGAAGTTGTGCTGAATTAGATAAATGTGAAAAAATCTTCATATATGATTAACTTATACTGGAATGGAACATGGCGGTGATGGGGAGTGGGGGGGGTTCTCGTGTATAGACTGACTGCATGGCAGTTTGGGTGAAAAAGCTTTTTACTGGCAGGTCTAGGATGTCAAGAGGAGCTTTATCTATAAGGCTCTTATTAACTTTCTGTTCAGGGTGACAAAATTGATACATTATGTCATTAGGTTACAAATGCTATTTGATAAAGTTAATGAAATAATAATAATAAAGATTTTGTTTTGTTGACTTCATCTTTATTTTGTTTTATAAAGAAATTTATACGAATATAAAATTTCCTAAGGATTATTCGCTAAGAAGACTAAACTACCTGTTTTAACTTAATTTCTTTGAAGTTGCATACAGTGCTGTCATTTATTAAGCTGTGTGAACCGCAAGTATGTTCATTGAAAATTTATGTATTCGTCATGCATTGCTGAACAGCCAAAGTACTAGTTACGTAATATAACTTTTCACCCATCCAAACTGAAAATTGCCACTTGATGTCTTTAACTTATTGAAATAATTGTATGAATGAAAAAACTTGGTAGAAGGTGAGAATGATTTAATGTCGTTTTTTAAATATTTTTTTTGTCTCTACAAGGTTAACTCTTCGTTTTGGTGGGAAAATGCAATATAACTGATTTTCTTGGGGAAAACAACGGTGTTCCCATACTTTCCAATGGCTAATGAATCTGTTCTGACATTCAAAGTTAGTTGATTGTTTTTTAAGTATGTAATAAGTTTGTAATAATCTCTACGGAAAGAAGCCATCTATGAACGCCCACGTGTTACGATGGCAAGAACAGATTTCAGAATAATTGCGGTAACCGCCGTTTTGATAGTAAAATGGAATTTATTATATTTCAACATGTATCTGTTGTTAACAATGTATTTATTAGGAAACTATTAATGTCATTTGAAGAGATGTTATCCCTTTAAATGATATATTGGAGTCGTGCAGTGCATTGTGCTTGCTGTAGCTGATGCAAGGTTCGAAGTGCTTCGTTGAAGTCGTTAGTAATGAAATACGAGCTCACTGTTACCGTGGATAAAGAAAAAACAACAACAAAGTCTGTTGCTAACAGTATGGCAGTTTTATGGTGTAATAAAACAATCTACCCAACAATTCTCCTATCTAACGGAAAAGGGGGAAAACATCCCGTGCCAAACACTTCACCTGTCTCTGACTGAAATACATCAGTCCGAGAAGTGTACTGTTAATAAGATAGTGGTCACAAATCTTAAACATGCGACATACAACCGAACAAGCAATAACAAAAGTGCCGTTCACGATATTCCAGACGGTTTGTGTTTTATACAAAGGTACATCGATCTAAATTAAATCTTAAGAAGAAACGAACAATATATGCTGACAGTGATAGTAAGGTTTATGCATACCCACAGGTATCGTGTCCATAGTACATCTACAAGTATATATGTGAAATTGCTAACGCTTTATAATACTGCAATAACAACAGATCTCCAACCCAATATTTCTTCGAGGTTAGTAGCCCTCTGTTCACCAAACAAAAGGATTAATATACCAGTGTACGGTAGGTGGTCGCATATTGTGGATGACGTCAAAACACCGTCAGAAATCCAAGCGGGAGGTGTAAGTGCCTAGATAAAATATACGCATCTGGCAAAAGTGCCGGGCGCGTTTATAATGATAAAATCTGTGCGAGTTCCTAAATAAATGTACAATTCTGGTTTAAGGTTGCGTACTAATGCGAATTAATGAGAAACACATTTACGTTACCATCCATCATTTGACATCATGATATAAATTACCCACAAAATCACTTTTATCTCGCTCCTTATCTTTTACCCCAAAAGAATGAAAAAATCTTAATGTTTGATCCAGTCTGTGGGACAGCTATGTAGAAATTCAAAAGTGTCTCATTTCGTTCTCCTCCATAATCTTTTCCGTGAAAGAGTGCAAAAATTGGAGCCACAAGTAAAATGACATAGACTTTAAACGTTTGATTTGATCCTCTTCGTGTATTTTGACTTATTAGAGAGTTTTTAATAATAAATAAGGAATAAAATTTACACTGAAAGTCTCAACCACTGTCCGTTAACGGTATCACAAGCGTCAAACAAATGAGAATATGATAACAAAACCCAGACAGGTGAGCCAGTCAAGATAGTTGCTATATATTGTAGGCGTGTTGATTAATATGCACGTGCCACCGTTTTTAGCGGGAAACATCCGTACATTCTATAGGGCCTCGCATACTTATACCAGATCGACGTCAGAATCGGAAACAAATCTTCCCGTATAGCTGCCTGGAAGTATTTGTACACAAAACTTGAGAGAGATCAAATTCCATCCACCTGGGCCTTTCATCCACTGCCGGGAAATCTGCAGTGATTTTCTCTATATAGCTTACATTGAATGCAGAACTGACCGGCAAAAGGTTTATACTATATCACAGGTAGCTCAATACTTGTAAAAAGATGTACGGATAAAAGATGTACACCTTAGATTCCCGTTAATCTTTAAAGTGTAATCCCTCGTCAAATGAGTCTGCAATGTCGTTAATAAAAAACTCCTCATCATAGTGAAGGCACCGTGATAAAACAATAGTTGCTTTGACAGTGACGTCCCCAAAGACGTTTTTAGCATGGCGCTGGAGACGTTCCTTAAATCCCAATCTATATTCCTCTGCTTCTTCAAAAGTTAGGGGACGCGACATAAAGGTGTGCACGTCCCTGCCACCTTCGACGTAACGCCATATAATTTGCTGTGCCTGAGCGCTGGTCATTCTCCCAGCAACCAAAGGTATAGCATTGATTAAGCGAGGCAGTTTCTTGAAGCAGCTCTGTGGAAGCTGATGTTCACCGTATACGGTTGCAAACGTAACGTGCATCAGGTAGCAGTGCCGGTTGTCCCCTTGGTTCCTATAACAGTTCACTAGCTGGCCTGCCTCTTTGGGGGTGATTGTGAACGGGGAATAAGTTGCCATGATCCCAGACATATGTTGATCCTATGTTTCGGATTTTTTCTAAAGAGTTTAACACCGAGGATGATTTCTGAATAAAGTGCTCCAAGGGCCTCTGTAATACAGCCGCGCTGTGGTGTTATTGCTACGAGTTCCAACTGGACTTGTGCTGAACAAATATAGCGGGAGTTTCCAGTATCGAAATAACTCTCACAGCTAGGGCCAGGTATGCGTTGTGATTGGAAGGAGCTGTATGCAGTTGCTGTTTCAGCGCCCAATCGATTACTGCAGGCATTCTGCTAAATCTAAGATTTATATTCAGGTTTTACATATTTGAACAGCCTTTTGTTCCATTGAGTAAATCTTAAGTGTGGGCACACACGAACGAGATAAAGCAGGGTCCCACACCGGCAACTGGACTTTTCAAAGGGCTCAGAAATCAAAACCCGCGTTGAACAGGTGAACAGCTTGCAGTGGATTAAAAAAATATCGGAATGCACTTGACTGACTTTCTTTAAGAGTCGGCCAGCGACATTATTTTGTCACCATTACACCCATGACTTGCTCTCTGGGGCTCAATCTGACGATGAAAACAATCTAGGTCTTGTTTTCTTCGTAATGTTTTCTCTTTATGTAAATACCTTTCACCAGATAAATGTAACTTTTGTTATGTTCTGAATGTAGTGTAATGTAATGTAATGTAATGTAATGTAATGTATTATACATGTATATTGCATTGCATTACATTTTGCATTGCATTGCATTGCATCGCATCGCATTATATAATATAATATAATATAATGTAATGTAATGTAATGTAATGTAATGTAATGTAATGTAATATAATATAATATAATATAATATATTGAGATTGTATAACTGTCAGTCATTATAATGCCGGTGTGACAGGAATTGTAGTCCGGGAATAAAGTCCGGGGTGCCATGCGATTATTACAGGTAAGGGTAAGTGGGAGTATTGGGGTTAGTATATGGTGCGAATGCCACCTTTACAAAGTATTGGGGAACCAACTACGCTTCTTTGCGGACAACCATTCCAGCACTTTTTAAGTTTTCCGAAAGTGAAAACTCAAATGCGACAGAGGTGCTCAGTAGTCATGCCATCACGTCAAAACGCAATTACCCACTTGATGAATGCGCTGTACGTGTCATTTGCACCTGTAGGCCTGTGGCGCTGACAGATTTTCGATACATTATCTTTCTGAAATCAAATTTGATTTTCTAAAGTATGTTTACATAACAGTGTATCCATTGTAATATGATTAAATCAACGCCATCGATTGTGGCTGAAGAATTGTGTGAATTTGCTGAGGGCAGGTCAAGCGCTATGGATATGAATGTTTGTTATTCCACTTGGGCGCCAACATCAAAATAGCGCTCAATATCTGTATTAATGCACCCGAGGAATGACAAACAAGCCCCCTAAGTAAAATGATCCTGGGCAAATAATATCGGCCATTGATTGTATGCTTTCGTGCGTGAAGTACGGCGTAAAGGGCCGTAGGTAGCACAGAGAAATAGGAGCCACACAAAAGATGTGTTGCTAGCGCGGTGTTGTTACAAGCTGAAGCTTGAAGCAAAGGACGGTGTACATTGCAGTTAAAGATGGAGGAATGTAAAAAGAGACCAGAATATTGTAAATATTAACACAGATTCGACAGAGACTCCGGAAATTGGGGTCCCATAAGATGGTAGTGTTTTAGTATGTTGAAAACACACTATCAGTCCTCGGCGAGTTACAGGACGTACGGCTCGATGCGATTGCCGTTTCTTGGTCAGACGGTGAAGGCAGGCCAGTGCGTCTCTCCAAGAGCAATTTTAACCAAAGACAGTGCGAGTTACATGGTCCATAGGAGTGTACCACCGAATATGGAGTCAGTCTATGCAGATATGTACTCTGGGGCGACATCTCCGGCCAGACATAGGGCAGCTCCCGTGTCCATGAGCTCTTCAGCGGAGTACGCTACCCGGTTCAAATCACGGCCAACCACTACCCCCAAAGTCGTTGGTTTTGACCCGTCGACAGTGGTACCAAGGGAAAAGTCGGGGATACGAGGCGTTAATGGCTTCTTTCCACCCGTGAAACTACGAGGAGCTGGATTCAGGAGCAGGGGGCATTACGAGACGCAGGTAATATTGGTAAAGATAGACCTACTATGTAGCTTAGCATTCTATCGTGCTTTTCATAAATTATTTTTTGAAAATCTATTACTGAACTTACATTTTTATTTAAGTAAGTTGTCAATAAGACTAAATTGTAAGTCCAGTAAAAATTTAATAACTTTATCTAGGCTTTTTGATAAGGCAACCATTTGAGTAATCTTAGTGTTTTTTAAATTTGACATGAAACACTTATCTGGATCCTATAGTAACGGCGTGAAATATTAGCACCAACTAAGGGAGAGAGTTTGTGCTGGAAACATAGGATAGATCTCTCATGTTGGTCTATTTTTGGGTAGAAAGAATAGGATTCCTTCCTTCCTGGACTCTCCCCTCATTCCCCATATGGTTCTTACACGTATTTCTTATAGCATCACTGAATATTACATTAACCATAATCCATAAACTATTAAATCTATGGACATTTTTCGTCATGAAAAAATTACCACGCAGGTCACAGTGTATCACCAGTTAAACTTTATTCCTGTCGGCGGCACAAAGTAACGATTTTCCATTAGTGGGACATATTCAGGGACCTGTTGTTGCTTTATTCGTAAATCGATACAAAATACCAGTCGCATTTTAAGTTTTCCCGAGTAATAAAGTCTCATATTGTGCGTAGATGGAATTTTAAGCCAAATTTCTTCGTTTCTATTTAAGTGTCCCAGGCTTAATGAGTTAAGCGTTTTACTCAGAGGTCTATAGGTGACGCATAATACCCCCAGACTTGATCACGAAGTTCACTCCAGTTGGCAGCAGATTTGCTCTAATTTCAAAGCAATTTTTTTTGTTGGTTGTGTTGCCGTGTTGTGCTAGTCCGCGTGTAAATTTTACTTTAGATTAAGTATCACAAAGGCAGAATTTGTCACAGCAATTTGAAATGTCGTTTCTTTGGGATCTTTATTACATTCATAACTTATTCAGTGATCTAAATATAAATATATTTTTTTACACATTAGATACTAGTTACGCAATTGGGGTTTCTTCCAATTTTAACCTGGTATAAATGTCGAACAGACGTGTGCACACACGATCTACGACTTATACCGGATTTTAAACAGATTTTAACCTAGATAAAACCTAATTTGAATTAAGACCAGGTTAAAGTCGAAATGCAATGCCTCCTCTTGATGTTTTTATCAAATGCTCTTTAAATAACTGTTAGACTTATTAACTGAATACATATTAATTCCTTATTTATTTTATTTTATGCAGAGCCAACCCGGAGGACTCGAACTTATTCCAGTTATGAGTCCCGATCCGAGCGAAATAAGACCAAAAACTGAACAATCTCCACGACCAGAACTGAAAACGGAGGTCTCGTCAATAATTTTCACAGGTGGTCGATCTCGGAGCGTTTCGTCCAAGCCACGCACCAAAATGGACACTGTGCAGCAAATGAAAATGATGCACCATGTACATAACCCGGATTACATCTCATGTCCTCTTGAAGTGGAACAGGACGAGACTTTGGACGACCTGAGTTACCTACCTAAACCAAGGAAACAGTTAATACCGACCAAAGATGTGCCTTTTGTATATAGGTACAAAGTTAAAAAGAACATGAATAAGTTGAATCACATGATGGCAAGTCGCGCACCCGTGTTTCCAGAACATATTTGGTGAGCCGAGACTGTGATATAATTATATCAATGTATATCAGTATATCATCATTGCTTCAACGCATTAAGTGTGAAATATCATTCAGTAAATCATTTATTCACTGTCATAAAAACTCATAACACTTATCGTTCAACGGAATTTTAAATCTACGGAGACGGATGTTTTAAAATCCCCGCCCTGAAAGGCTCGTGTGGAGAAAGGTTGGTAAATTCCAGGATGGTAGAAGTTCAGCTCCCTGCGCATCTTCGTCCGGAAATATTCGTTTCATTAGGAAGGAGTATCAAGTCCTTCAGGAGCAAATATCACTTATATGCCTCATTAACGTAAATGAAGGCGGTCTTTTCTTGTGATTCTGTAATATGTTTTAAGTCTCACATTCTGTAACGTGTTTTAAGTCTCACTGTCTTGCTCAAACCATGACACGAACTACGCACTGTGGACTCATTGTCTTTAGGACGAACTTCTTGCGTATGCAAAAAGCTTGGATCAAAATTAGTATTTAGTTGCATATTATTATTATAGGAGTATTTCTTTCTCGTGTTGTCATTCAACCAGCAACATCCAAGCCCAAAGAAATGACGCAAGGTCTATGCTTTCCGGAGGAAAAAAGTTATGGCTATAACCTTTGGAGCATAAAAATGTGAGGGGTGCTTTATACTTAAGCCCCCTTTACACTGGATGGCGTCCTTTCTGCGTCCAGCAGTACGGCCCCATTTGAGAGTTAAAAAATTATAATACTTTACGTGCCGACAACTGGCCGATCATTGAGCATTCATTCTGATACAAAATCAATGCTCGTGCCTCCTTATTAAGACCACAGCAATGCCAAATTTCATGGTCGCAGAAAGGACGCAGAAAGGACGCCGTCCAGTGTCAAGGGGGTATAACTAATTATGCCACAGTCTCAATACACCGTTGTATTTTGGACCTACCTCACTGACAGCTGAGAATCATATCCGCCAGAACCAGCTATTAAATTTGGATATTTAATAGAATGGATACATCAGTATTAGAATAATTGAGCTTTTTGTATAACAGAAACCCACCAAAACCGAAACTACTTCAATTTTGGTAAATATGTAGTAGAAGTACAATTGAACAGTACATTGGAGAATAATCGTATTCAAAAAGTGCCAAAATGTCATAAGACGACTATAGATATAGATTAAATACAAAATAATTACGCAAAGTGATACATGCGTGTAGAAGTTGGCAGTTTCATAATAGCTTTAAAAATTGCCATTATATGGTTAAGTGCAATGCCTTTGAAAATAGGTTCACATCACGTCTGGTGTGTAGTTTTGTGAAGTTTGCCCACCGTTTAGTTTTGTGAATTGTGCGAGTCCAGATTCATCGAACGTCATCAAAATTCATCTGAATGCATGCGAATCAATAACGTTGTTAAAATTCATGTGTGGCTAACTGTTTGTCAATGAAATCAATAAAGACACGCAAATATACTAGTGGGTGCCTTGTTGTTGTTCTTTTAAAGAGGAGAAATATTAGAAATCTCAATACATTTTCGCACATCGAATCTCAGTTTTTTCCTGTCTTTTTCCACTTCAGTTGTAGATTGCTTTCGCAGTGTCGGTGTAACGTGACCTAGAGTCCGTGGACTGTCAGTTTCAGAAACTAGGGGCCTGTTTATGAATTCGGGTGTCCTCGTTAAGATAACATTACACGGAGTACGTATAATATAATTCCCCGGATTTAAAATGAAGGGTCCACCAGACTCCACGGGACGGACTCCGCGTCTCGTTACACCGGCGGAAACGTGTACGTCTTTCCCATGCTCCCGAAATCCCAAATTTTGTTAAATGACGTTTTTATTTTTAACAGCCATAATTGGTGTCATCTTTAGGCTAATTTCAACAGACTTTTACTTCAAATAGAGATACTAAACTTAGGCGCTGGAGTAAAATCTGAGAACTTCTTGGCAAGCCGCCCTTTGAGAACGAAAATGTTAGCATTACAACTAATTTTCGAAAGTTTTGCAAGTTTACCAACTTTGTTTTCTTTCGTTTGTAAAATCCATAAGGCTGCAAAACCTTACCCCACCCTGAATCTCAACTACTAAACAACTTTCCCCAAATTTAAAAGGTTTCATAGTAGGCAATGGTTGTATTAAATCACACTACACCGTCTTTTTATTTTCATTTTTTTGAACCAACATGATAATAGGTTTTTCAATGTCCATGAAGATGACTCGAGATGAGATGAATAAAGAAAACGGATTTCTATTTTGTTGCTTGTCTTTTTATTAGCTTTCACATTACTTTTTCAAAAATTGTGATACAAAGAAATATAATAAGATGTGATTAACAATGAAGGAACTGCAATGAGGGCAAAAATGAACACCAACTTAACCTGACCAAGGGCATGTACCCCGCAAAAGTAGCATTCATTTTTGCTCTCACTATGTGAAGATATGTGAGTACAAAACAGAGAACATTACGTATTAACCTGTAAGAGAAAGACATTCACTGCTACAGACAAGTTTATCAAAAATAATTAAGTATTTTAGAAAATATGACCTGAAAGAAAGAGAAAGCAAGGAACGAAATTCAGTCACTACTTTTCCTGTGGGATGAACGGTTTCACATCAGCAACAGATGAGGCGTGCAGGCTCCTGTGAAGCTTTTGTGGATACACTGGGTTTGGAACATCTTACCTGGCAGAACCACCAATTTACCTTTGTTGTTGTTGTTGTTGTTGTTGTATTAATTTGACTTGAACTGGATGCTGATTCAACAAAATGCAATAAGCAGTCCTCAGAATAGAAGTTGAATGCTTGTGTTTAGTAGAGGTCTCTGATCCATGTTTGGCTTCTGTAACATGTATTTGTAATGGTAAGAGCTTATAACTTCTGATGATTGCCGTCTCTTTTCAGATTTAACTTTTTCAAGTCTTTCAAGTTGAGAAACTGCAGTGGATTTCTTTTACGTAACAGCATGTTCTTATAAAGGGTATTTCGACAGCTAGAAAGTCTTCAAAATGGGCTACAAGATCTTCCAACAGTCAACATGTTCCCAAGCACTCATCACAGGGATGGCAGACTTGAATGAACCTGCAACTCCGATGACAAAGAATTCCAAGCTTGAACCTGCAGCCATCTGGCAACGTCAGATTGCCTTCTACTGTTACACCCACAAATGTTACCACTATCTGTTGTATATTTCACAGTGAACAACAATCTACAACTACTAGTTAATTCATACTGAAAAAACTGAGCATCGTCTACACAGCAATAATGCTGCTCAGACAAAAAATGCCTTTTTTTCAAAAATAAGGCTTACAAAAGACTAGTTTAAGGATATTGAATTCTTTGACAAACAATAGACTACATAGACTTTAATTGGATACTAACATTATAATGTGGAAATGAATATGAAATGTGACGCTGAAGGTGTATTCCGTGAGTACTCTTCTCAAGCTGCTGGGTTGGATATCTGTAAGGAAACTGCTGAATGATCAATGAATTATGGTGAGAATGAAATGCAATGGAACTGGAAGTGATGACCGACTTCACATCATCTGGCGATGGTGGGGTCACTGGCTGGGGACATGGTCAAGCAGAACACCAAGGGTACATACTGACTGGACTTGGCTAAACTAAACACAACTCCACCCAGTAACCCATGTCGTAGTAGTGGCTGTAGTAAATAGGGGAAGTAGGCCAAAAAATGCCTGCCTGGCTGAACACTTGTCGAACGGAATCAAAAAAGTCATGATGAATGAATGAATGAGGTGGATTTAGCTTTAATTTTATGCAAGTGCAGCCAGGACCTTCGGCATGCTGGTTTTGCAGTCCAACTTTGTGCGATCCTGAGTAAACACAGCATCCAATCCTTCTAGGAATTCCACACACTTTTCCTCATCTGGGAATGCCAATTCAGTCTGGATGAATGGGACAGACAAGGTGGGGCGATATCTAAGTGTAAATATGAAGAAAAAACTGTTATGCACACATTTTGGTTATTTTGTCACTTTTGGGGAAATTTTTTTTTGCCTTATACAAACCTGTTTGATCCAGAAAAGATACTCACCTCTCCCGACTTTAGCAGCTTACATTTGGTTATCATTTTGATGATATCATAGCAACACACATTATATACATTTTAACATGCTGACTAAATTACTTAATCACTTACCTTTACCAATGGATACCTGAAACCACTAATAATATCACAACAGTCACAAAGGCAGCGCCTCCTCACCCCCCCCCCCAAAAAAAAAACACACACACCAACTCAAAGAAAATCGTTTTGCATGCAGCATTTGCCTTCCTCCCCTTGCCACCCCCTTTTTTTTGTCTTTTTTTTTTTTTTTTGCAAATATTGGTGCACATCGAACTAAACTAATAGATGCTGATCCCTTACCTATTCCACTTTTAATTTTTATCTTTATAAGCAAAATTTATATGAAATGAAATTGTAAATACTGTTATACCCCAAAGTGTCATATATGTATATACATTTTTACAATATGCAAAACTTTTAATCCACAAAGAAACCTCATTGTTAAAAATAGTCACTGGCCCCAGAAATGTAATTTTCCAACTGAGCAAATAAACTTAAAATCTTTCTGGTATGTGTAATGTGATTTTAATTGATCCAGACACTTGAAAATTACTGGATTGGTTGACTTTTTGATACTTTAAACATATTTCTAACACTAAGACATATAAATGAAAATTTAAAAAGTATACATACGACTTCACAAAGATCTTCAGTGCCTGCTTCCTTGCTCTTTCTACAAACCAATCTATAAGATACCCAGCCATCTTGGGAGCATTTTGGTATAATTTAAAGAATTTGTGATAATTATTCAAAGACCAGGCATGTAAGATTTCTAAAGAATGTTTTATACACCCATCCATCTTGTCTTCTTTGCTCAGTGAAGCTAATACTGTCGTGAGATCTGAGTTTCAGTTAAGAAGAAAACAACACTTTAAAACATAAAATGCACATGCTGTGAAACAATTTTCAGTTAAACTTAATGGCAAATTTAAGACAAATCTATGAGGATATATATGATGATTTTAAAAAATACACTGACCATAAAAATAAATAATCTTAAGTGTTTGGAAAAATTATACTTCAGTGCAAAAGGATACCTGACGAGTTTGATGTGAAAATATAATATAAAATTCTGTATGCTGTGAACTCTAATCTATGGTCTGGGCTGATTCCTTCGGAGTACAACAGTTTCAACTGAGTTTGGCACTGGTTAAACTCTTCATGGTCTCCCTTAAGTCAAAAACATAAAATAATGAATTTTTTTTAAATAATAGAACTCCTCTTCTCCTGTACTGTTATAGATGATGGCAATGCAGATATCTTATATTATTATAAATATAATGACAAAAAAAACCCCAACTAAACACATTTAAGGGAATAGCTTATTATGCGACTTCTCTCAAATATGCATATAAAATGTTGTACAGATTTAAAGGTATTACTTAATAATCTGATTTTATTAAATAAAAATTTTATTTGATTTCTTACCACTTCCATGGCTACTCTTGCATGGGTTTCATACACCTGGACTGTGAAACCATCCCTAATACACTGGACCTAAAAAATAAGCCAAGATCATAATTTGTTAAACTCATGTCATGATGACACAATTTACTAATACTGAATTACACTAACAAACAACAAAAATTAAAATCCAGTAGATATCTTTCAAATTGTTCAGTTTATATTCAAGAAGTTTCGCTAACTCTGTAACTTACAGTTAGGTCCTGCCTAATTGCCTTCAACTGTTCGCAAGCATAGCGATAGTCTTGTTTCACCTTCCAGTGATCTTTCACCATTTTAAGTGATTGTTGCAGCACCTCAACTGGTCTGACTGTTGAAGGGTCAGGAGCCTAGGATGAAAACAATTTCTTCAAAGTCAACGTCCACCTTGGTTTTTGTACTTATTTTAAAGCAAAGGTGTGAAATCCGCTCTTCAGACAGAAATTTCAGTCCATTCACATTGTCCACATCTGAAATGTTGCTATTTAGAATCTGACTGCAAAAGCTAATGGACAACATACCATTTGATTTATTCAGCAATATAATAGGGGTATTTCAATATGAAAACTGATGTCCATATCACATGTGTAATATGCAATGATCTACTTACAGCTGTAAGTCGTAAGTATTGTTTGGTCAAATCCTGACAAGTTCCAATGATTGCACTTCCATCCCATCCGGCTTCTGAACCACTGTCTCCCTCATCCTTTATAAAAAATATGTTATAATTATTAGATTACACAATAAAAAATGTATAGTTTTTACATTTCTTTCAAATGAATAGTTGTGCAAAAAATATATGCACACATACTTCTTATTTCTGTATATTAATAATGTGTTAAATAAATGATTTTACTCACATCAAAATTATTTATTCTCAAAACTAATTTCTCTGTCCTTTTTTGTGTTTCTAAATGGTCCCCAAATCTAGCAGCTCTCTTCATCAATCTGTCTTTTTTGTCTGGTGTATTGTACTCCATAAACTCAAAGCTGTAAAATAAAACAATTCTATATGTATATAACAATATATATATGTATATCAATAAGGGAACAAATATTAATGCACTTGCTTCATCACAAAATTTAAATCAACTTACTTTTTCTTCCCCTTCTTCCCTTTTTTTGCCGAACCTGTCACACCATCTCTGTTTTGGTCTCTCTCCTGTTTTTTATTCTTTCCTCCACGTCCTCTACCTCGACCGCGCCCTCTTCCTCTTCCACCAAAGCTATACACACCGTCTCCACTTTCACTACCACTGCTGTGTCTTCTCCTCCTGTCCCTTTTCCTTCTGTAGGATGGCGACCTTGACCTACTCCTTGACCTACTTCTTGATCTACTTCTAGAACTGGACCTAGATCTACTTCTTGGGGACCTCCTAAAACCTGGAGTGTAGCCCCCTTTACGCCCTCTTTGCTGTCTGGGAGTCGGATGATATTCATTACCATTACTGGTGCGGTCATCAGTGTCCATCTCCCACCTATTCTTTCTGTCACTCATTGATTTTTGACTCCCATTTCCAATACTCACTCTCCTTAAAAAAATAAATAAATAATAATAATAACAATTATAATAATTTTTAAATACAAAGGATGTTTCTTTTAATGTTATCATTTTAGTATGAAAAATATTATTGGATGTGACTTTGGGATATGTCATCTAATTTGGAATGTTTAAAACAAATGTTCAAGAAACTTACGGAGGGAGAGGCTCTCTATCCCAATCCAAAGAAAACGCGATGTCTGCTGCAAATGCAGTTGTTATTTTTTCTTTAAGATTTTTTTCCATAATATCCTTCTCCTGGTCAGTGGTAACACTTGCAAAAGCCCTCTGCACATACTCCCTAAAATTGACACAACCACAAAAAAATAAATAAATAAAATAAACCCAGTACAATTCCTAAGTTGTTTGCAGAAGCTTTAACATTTTAAATAAATTTTTCAACCAATCCATATTTACCATTTTGTAAGCAATAATGCGTATAGAAATAGTTACATTGCGTTTCAAATCTAGTGAATCCTTGGAGTTTCCATAGAAATTCCATATGGACAGTGTTCAATTGAAAATCTTTAAGATCTGTACTTTGTACTTACTTTAATGCAGGTGGCCATTCACCAGCAGCAGCCTGGCTATTTCTAAAATAATAAAAAAAAAATACATGAACATAAAAGTATCGTGTTTTCTTTAATTTCTTCCTTAAGTATCAATAAACATCAGTTTTACAAGTTTAAACTGAAAGCCAGTATCATGCTCATGGCTGTTAGTTTAACAACTATTCTATTTCAGTGCTGTTACATTGTAAAGAAGCACAGAAACATACTTTTGCTGTTGTACAGGTTCCTGTTGATGCATTTCCTGTTGTTGTTGCATCTCTTGTTGCTGTTGTTGATGCTGCTGTTTCCACTGCTGTTTGTTTTGTTGCTTTTGCTGCACTCTCTGCTGATAGTCATTCATAACATTGTTCTGCTGGCCAAGCCCTGGTCTCTTGTTTGGCAGTTGAAAACGAATACCACCTGCACCAGGAGCCTCTACAAAGACAAAACAAAATTTTTTCCCCATAATCGATTTTTACCTCAAAAGAAATCACACAAATCCAACCACATCTTACCTCAAAAGAAATCACACAAATCCAATCACATCTTGTGGGATGAATCTTAAAATATCTTTACCAAAACAGTTAAAGGTATAACAACTATTTGTTTTTGCCAACAAACAGATTTTCCTGGGGTAAGATTTCCCCCTACCTAACGATGGTTAATAATTCCATTCCTTCCTTCAAAGTTAGTCCATGTTATTTTTCTTCAAAGTTTGCTATTTTTATTCCAGAATAATTATGATAACTGCTGTTTTGGTGGTAAAAATGGAATTGACTCCATTTCTATGAGTTGCTTACAATGTTATAATAGTTGTAAAATATGTTTCTCATACGAAGAGATGCTTTCCCTTCAACTAAGGTTTAAAAAAAAAGCTTACGTTTTCCTCTTCCCCTACTAAAACCACCATCATTAGCTGACCGTGTTTGGTAGGGTCCACCAGGTGGTAAAGGAGGCTGTTGCTCTCCTATTTGATTAGTATGGGGTCCTTGTTGCCTTGACTGCGGCGGCATCATGTTCACAGGAGGGTACCTTGGAGGTCGTTGATACATATTTGGAGGTCCTGGCGGGTACATGCCCATGCCAGGCATACCATAGCCACTGAAATATGGACAGCAGACAATTAAATGGAGGGAACTTGTAGGTGGCCTAGACATAACTGAGTTACTTAAATACATGCACGGGCTCAGTTGGGAAGAATTTAGGCTGAGTTACTTAGTTACAAGTTCTGAACTAACTGTTGGTTATGTAATCCTAGGAGCAAATTCTTTTTGAGGAAGCAATGTACTGAATTATTTTTACCACACTTTGTATAAAATATTACAGCCCTTATTTGATAATGACAAGGAACATGGTAGAAAATAACATACTTATTGTAGGGGTATTGTTGCTGATACATTCCCATTTGCATCTGCTGCATGTACTGTTGTGGAACATTTGGGGCTTCCTGTTGCACTTCAGCTTGCTGCGCTTTTTGTTTAGGTGGGCTTTTCATTTTGGCTTGTGCTTCTTCTAATGCTTTTCTGGCCTTTTCCCATTCTGGTTTTTCTGCTGGGGCATTATTGAACTGTTGAGGCATTGGAGGCCTGGTAAGGGAAAAAATAGACATATATGTTTATGAGTTGCTTAAGTGTAGACTGCATTAGTTTTTCAAAATTGGTCTATTTTTAAGCTTTAAACATTGGTTTCTTAACTGATGAATAGGTACCTGCTCGACAATTTTTTTCTATTATTTTTTGTCATTAAAGGTATCCTATATAGAATTTTCATACCAAATATGATTTTTTTTTCTTGAGGAAAAAAGGCAAAATTTTTCCTGCTCACAAATTATGACTTGCTTCATTCCTGCATTTGGATTCAATGCATTAAAATACCTTAATTTACGTGTTCCAGCATACAAAGTGACATAGGAAAAATGTTCAAACACGTATGGTGTTATTTCTAAACTAACAACAAAGTCATCTTGTCTCACAACTTTGAATTTTGAACTTTGGTGCTCCTTTTCAAAATAATTTTCAACAGAGTTACATTTTATCTGGCTGCTATCAGTATGATTACTAGCACTAGTACATATTTGACGCATATCCGTTTTGGCAACATATACCTTTATGATTTTGACAGGACACCCATTTCAACAGAAAACATATCTCTGTGCGACTGACAATATAAATCACATTCCACTGTTGACAACTCTGGGCATAACAACCCGCAACAGAATTTCAACTTTGATTTTTGCTGCTAAAAAGATTTGACAAAAGGGGGGGGGGGGGGGGCCGACAAAGGGTGATTCCTCAAGTGTGGTTCCGAAACATAAGAGGGCACATAGTAGGAAACTCAAACAGAATATCTACTAATATAGCCCAAGTGGAAGAATAACATACAGATCGGACAGACTTTAAAACATTTTGGTTCGATCAATCTGTTACTAAAGTTGAACCTCCAGAATTTGATAAAGAACGACGTTGATTGAGAATTATCACGGTTCTCTACACAACATTTCTCCTTTTTCAAATATATCTAAATACTTAAACGTGACCGAAAATATTCAAGGGCTATTATAATTGGAATCGGTTTACCATTGAGATGCCTGAGTTGCCATATTCCCTGCTGAATTCCACTGCATCGCGCCTGTGTTCAGCATTACTTAGCAATATGGAGGATCTTTCTACTGTGACGTCACGTTGATATGATGGATTCGTGCGCCATTCTGAAACGAGGGCAATTGACGTCAGAAATATTTAGAAGAAAATAATTCCAAGACGTTCCAACCCTCTTTTGTCTGATGTTTGTTTACAATTTTTGATTATCAAAACTGAAATATTTAAAGCCGCTACGAATTTTTATTTGCAAACCAAATCGTTTTGTGGTTTTGATTTTTAGAAGCGCATTAAAGTTGACCTATTTCTAGATCAGTTCTTGGGTTCAGCTGCGATGGCGACTCACGATGATGAGACTAGCCTCAGAGAATGCGAAGATTATATACAGAGACACAGTATTCAACGAATTTTGAAAGATTGCATTGTGCAGCTTTGCATAAACAGACCCGAAACCCCTCTCAGCTTTTTGAAAGAATACTTTGAAAAGTTAGAAAAGGTGAGTCCAACACACCCCCTCCCTAGAAAGCATGCAAGTCGATATTATCATCTATGTTAGCTTGAAGCAAGTGCGAAAACATCCATTGAATTTAAGTAAATTGGGGGTAAATATTTGCACTAACTCAATGGCCCTTCATTGTATTTTTATAACCGAGCCATCAAACATATAATGCCGTTTGCAGAGAAAACAAATTCTTTTGGAATTCGGCCTGTAAGATTAGTTATAGTAAACTACTCCTCAGTACTTAGTACCGAATTCTTTCAATTTCCCGTCTGGCATTCACGTCATGCTTTCAAGGCACCCTACTCCTTCACTCGACCCTGACACACTTGTATACAGTGCATTGCATAACTCACATCCACTGCCCAAGACACTGACCCTTGAAAAACGACCATTGATGATGTTCACTTATACCGATGCTGCATATCACTACTGGCATCCGTGTGTATCAGTGCCATAACTTCAGGTAGACATAGGTGTAAATTTGCAAAGTGGATCCAGTTCGAAAAAATACTCATGGAATCTGCAGCACTGGAGAATGATTTAAATATGAAGCTCTGCGTGGTAAGTGGGAATAGTTGTGCACGGGTGTCTTGTTTAAACATTTGGGAATGTGAGGTGTTGACTATGTGCAGATTTTAAAACTTGTATAACCTGCAGTCCTAACAAGATATAATTTATTGAATCAAGAATGAGATTTTTCTGACTATTTCCTACTTTTTGGGAACCAGAAACATAATTGGCTTAGGCAGTCCCCTGGACCTCGCGCCATATTTTCAGACTTCTTCATTAAATGGCAGTCTTATCCCTGTAAAATATATTCTTATGAACCCAAAACAAGTCACTTTATGGTGTATTCAATCTGTGCCATTTTTTAACCACCTGGCCATTTAGGTTACCCAATGTCTTGAGAAATTACTGATCCAAAGCAGTGGATAATAACTAAAAAAATATTTATGCACATTCACTTTTTCCTGATGGAAATATTGACAGGTGCTTGAAATGATGAGCAACTGTTAGTGTTAAGTTGCTAACTACCCCTCATCATGCATAATTACAATATCAATTATATCAATAAACAAAAATTCTATATCATTTACAGTGGCCCCATGCCAGCAGGTACAATCTGCTCTGATTCTTTGCCTTAATGTTATTTTAGTCCATTGTTTCAGCTTCCAATTTACCTCTTGAAAAACATTTATTTCAAAGTCTGGCATTGGCCATCACTATTACAATATTTGACCGAATTGAAATATTTGAAGTAGACAATTTTATATAAAAGATTTACCAAGCAGTGTATAATTGTGGATTATAGGTTCCAGTTAGAATATTAGTGTAACACATTGACAGTCATTACAGCCTTTGTATTAGAAAATGTGATCATTCTAGACAAATGGAAAAATAACTTGACTACTTGCAGCCTAAATTGATGAATATATTGTTGAGCAGAATGGGCTATATTCAGATAAACCAAGCTTTGTTGAAAAGATTAAAAAAAAGACACTTCAAGTGACTTATAACTGTAGCCCTAATGTTAGATCAGTTTGCACCATAGACATGTGCCTACTTAAACTGAATGAGGTGCTCAGTTTAAGGTACGCAAAGGCTACGTTGTATACTGGTACTTGAATATATCAGGTAATATTGATTTGCCATGTTAACCAGTTGTTAATCGTTTTGGTTTGACGATATTGATGTGTATAGTGAATTACTATAGAACATTCATTGAAATACTAGTATCCAGAATTTTCAGCTTGAAGAAAACATACACCCCATTCTCATAGATTAGATCGACCTACATTGGATCGACCTAACTCCCTGGGGGTTCACGCTAAATAGCTGTCAGCCGGGCGGACATGAAAGTTAATTATCCCTTTCTGCTTGTAGTAGGCGGGGACGGACACTTAAGGCGGATTATCTGACAGTAATCTAGTGAGACTCCCCGCGGTGATAGATCGATCTAAAAGTTGTGAGAACAGAGCCATAGACTTGTTTTCTGAATGTGTTTTTAACACTTTTTGATTGCTATTCAATGAAATATTTTCATCCTTGTTAAAATAATTTTTTTCTGATTAATTTCCTGTTCTAATGTATCGTCAGTCATCAAACATCTAGAATTAAAACTCTGTGAAGCATATCACCATATATCATGTAGACATCTTCAGGTGGGTTGTCTTAATCTTTATCAATATATATACACCACAAGCCCTTCTGATCTTGCATCAATGCACAGTTTGAACTATTTGTATATATGATTACATTGCCAATAGATGCTTAACTAACCGTGAAACATTATACCCTAATTGACAAACTTATTAAGCCCTAAGTGACATAATGGGTCAGATCAATATGTGTGTGCCTTGAGAGCTCGGATTAGCTGCTGGTTCAAATCATGCATATTCAGTAGGCTGCTGACGTAAATGATGATGGGCTGCTTAAGCAGAAGATATTACAGGGCAGTTCAATTTCAGCGCTTGTATTGATTTTCCTACTTAAACCTTGTGTGCTAATAGTTCTGTTCCCATGATAAATAGTTCACGGAGTAGCCAGAGCTTTTGACGAACAGGAGATAATCTTGGACACACGCCTTGTAGGTAGACTATCTGAAACACATGGAAAAGACAGCCAAATCCAGGAGCTGCAAGGGTAGATAATGTGGTAAATTGATACAGAAATGGGGAACAAGCTTAGAAAACACCAGTCTTTTACTGTCCAGAATGACTCGCAGGCAGTATCAGGGAAGGATGCTGCAGCAGCCAACAAGGAAAATGCTCCATTAGAGAATAAGGATGTGTCAAATGAGTGTGCTAAATCAAAGAAAAATCATGAAAAGACCAATGATAGCAGGAGTAAGTCTGACCTACATGGTGGCTCAGGCCACACGGGGCAAGAGGAACCACCAGGAGATAATTCTAACCAGAATGGGGTAGAAAATGATTCCAATCTTGTTGCACAGGGAAACCAAACAGGCTCTGCTGAAGAAAATAATGACAGTTTGAACCAGGTAGGGTTAGCATAAAAGATTTAGAGAGACGACAAGGATTGATCGCTATTGGGGATGTTTGATTCATAATATTGCATTTGACGAAAAGTTTTGATCACAGAAAAAACTAATAAAGACAGCTGTCGTTAAGGTTAGGCTTTATAATAAATTTAAATACTGATTCCAGTTTACGTAATTTTTTTACCACAAGATTCAAGCTGAGGTTTGATTGTTCATCAGTCATGTTGGCTCATTGGTTTTCTTGCAACCACAGCTCCTTCACCTGCTCATACCTGCTTAGCAGGAGACAGGCTTTATTTACTGATTGAGGATTTGACCCAAGCATAAGGGGTTTGTTGATCTTGATCAAATATTGATGTGGTTACTATTGTCTCCTATTTCTACAGAAGGCTGTCATGATCTTAGAGGTATGTTTGATTTGTCTCATATGGTTTTAATATTGAAGATGCTGAAGGGTGATGTTGTCAGGATGAGGGGGGGGGGATACAGAGATGACTAAGCACCAAGTAGGTTTTCTTTCAATGCATGAAGTGTTTCCTTTAAAAAACATTTTGAATTGAACTATGAGACAAATGGTGAAAAATATTTTATTTCACTTAGGCCAAGTAGCTTGTACACAGCAGTAGTAAATAACATGGGTCAATTGCTGTTGGTATTTTCATCTTTTGATGTCATTTGAACTAGTAATAGTAAGGCAAATTTATGTAAACTGGTACGGATAGGATATGATGAAGACTAGTTCATCTATGATTGCAGGCTTGGTATATTGAATAGGTGGCTCGTGACTGAAATTCAAAGCACACAGCATGTTGAAAACTCCTCTGTTGTGGAAAGTGATGGGGTGATGTAATTAAGGACAAGAGAGTGATGGCAAAATTGAAGAAGTCCTTTGAGATTACTCACATAGGACCTGTTAATGAATGTGTAAATATGTTGTTAACAGAAAGCAGTAGCAGTATGATTGATGTTGATACTGCACTTACATATATTATGTTATTTACTATGAAAGCATATGAGATTTTTGTTTTTTCAAAATTTTCTTAACTTGGTGGTAAATAGCATGTGCTTTAACCCTAAAGTCATGTTAAAATAATGAAATTAAATACCGTGCTCAGAAAAAAATTGCAGTGCTTTATGAAATTAATGAATATAACCGTTCAATAAACTTAAGGCAAGTGAGAAAATGAAGACTGTTTGATGCATGAAAGAATTTAAAATGAAGTGTCGGAAAAATATCAGTGATATAGGAAAAATCATGCATTTTCTTGCCATGATTCTGAATATGGTCCCAGTGATATACATTTGGAAACAAGCTAGTTTTGGTATGCTGCATGCCAACAGAGGATATTCTAGTAGTTGTTTATTCTCTGGTTTCACTGTCAACTGACTATTTTGGGAGGATAATCAGACATAGGTACCTGTGCAGTGAAGGATCTAAGGTGTGAACACTTTGACAAACTGAAGATGATAAAATCACTACTTCGTTCATTTTGTTATCTTGATGAAATCCAGCATTAAGGTGCATTTCCAGTTCAGTTGTGATGATGTAAGTTGGTGTGTAACCACCTGGCATTTTGTGGTTTGTGACTTTGAGCTGCAGGTTTGTGATTACTTTGGCCAAATATACGACTTGAATTTCTACTACATGGTATGATCTAAAAATTCTTGTTGTGAGCGTTGTATTATAAATTAACAATTTGGGCAGCTTTCAAACAAGTCTCTCACTTTTCACTCATTTAAGTTATCAGTTCTAGTTCTTGAACTCAAACCATAGTCTACTATTTCTACTTCATATTAATATAGGATACTTTTAATGTCCAAAGTGTCTGGCATTCACGAATTGGGCTGAAGGTGAAGGTGAGGAGACTTGTGATTCTCGGTCTGTAACATGGTGCTCACAACATGTATTTTTACAGTTGTACCATGAAGTATTTATTTGGTGATCGCAATCACAAATCTGCCTGTTCAAAGTCACAAATGGCAACCTCATTTATAATGCCTGACTATGTCCTCTGCAGAGACTTGACTCTATTGCAGGAGTGATGGGTGATATAGCAGAAGTTTTATACTTTTTATTTTGAGATTATTGTACACACGTCTTCTGAAATAGAATATTCAGACTGAGTTAAGCTGTTACAGCTGGACTGAAAACAGACTTAAAGATTGCTGGTACTTAATGTGTGAATGAACTTGGGAGTCCTTGGAGAAAATTGTCTTTTATATTGCCTCGGTGTACAAGATAATCTGACTTCAAAGTTTGAATGATAATTGATTGTCATGCTGGGGACCCTGTATATTTCTAATTGTTAAGATACACAGAAAAGGTATTAAATCTTAATTGACACACTGGTGACAGTTATGAAGATTGTTTACTTAATTTATGAATAAAATGAGGAAAATTTCAATTGCAGCACAACAGGTAACTGTCTTCAATCCGTCATTGATTTTGATCACAATGGTGTACTGTATTTCACAATGGTGTACTCATATTTGTTTTAGATGTTTGCTCGAAATAATGCTAATGTAGCCTCAGGGTACCACTTAAATTTTGCCTGGATTTTGGGTCAGATTACTGTTTTTTCATCTAATCTTTCCTCACTATTGCTGTCTAAAATGTCATGTATCTCTTAAACTTTTGATCCATTTATTTAAACAAAATGCATAGGCAGTAACAGCTCTCTTGTAAAATAGCTTAATGAGATATTTATATATTAACCTTCTCATGAACAAGTGGCTGGGCTGCTTGCAGATAAATTGTAATGGTGATTACATTTCCTTATTGTTGCAACTGTATTTTACCTGTTGTGTTATAAGATTGATGTGGACATGATTAGTGATTTTTAGTTATAACTCAGTAGAAAGCATTTAGCTTTCTTCTTTCGTCTGTCAGATCATAATTATCATTCTATGGCAATGTCATTTCTGTTGAATCAGTTTTTGTTGTTTATTTCTTTTTGTCCTTGAAAATGTCTATGTAAACAGAAAGTTACTAAACATATCACTTTTTATCTCCCAACAATGTTTTTAAGTGGTGTTTTTTTTTTCATATTCAAGTCTGTATGTCCATGAGCTTAGGAATTCAGCTCTGATTATGAAACCAATTATTGAGATACCATACATATAGCACTATATCCACTGTAATTAATGATCCTTTGAATATATTTGCTTCATTAAAATTTTTTTTTAAATGAAAATAATAACTGTATATGCAAATTATAACTGTATATGCCCATGAGATTAGGAATACAGCTCTGAATATGAAACCAATTATTAAGACACCATACATATGACACTAAATCCACCATAATTAATAATCCTTTGAATAAATTGGCTACATTAAAATCTTATTTTATGAAAATTATAACTGTATTTGCGTAGAGAGAAAGCACTCAGAATTGGCTTCAGACGTAACCAGATAAAATTGGGCTAGAGCATCTTGCCCAAACCAAATGTTAGTTGAAAGATTTATGTGATAGAATATATATGCAGAGAGCCAAGGACCTGGTTTGCTCCATCATCATTATATTACAGCTTACTATAAGCAATAACTGCTCTAGAGGCTTCTTGGAAATGGGGTCTAATGGGATCAGAGAGGTGTATTTTTTTCTAAAAAACGAGCGTTTTAAAATGGAAAAGCCTTTCCCTTTTCATGTTTATCTTTTTTTTTTTTTTTTTTTTTTTTTTTTTTTTTTTTTTTTTTTTCCGTTAATTTGATCATTTTTTTAAGAAGCAGATAAGTGGCACTGGCTACCAGAAAGCTCCCAGAAAGAAATTGAAAATCATATTTATGTAAACATATGACTATGTTTTATTCAATTACAGACTGACAGTGATGGGTTTATTTCCCTTTACCTCCCTAATATTCCATTGGTCTAAGTGCAGTGATATTTTTACTTTTCTTTCACAGAAATAGATATGGATACATTGCTTTATTTGACAAAATGAGATATTATTTTGCATTTTAGTCAATTTTTCACTCCCTGCAGTCTGTAAATTAGCTGCTTTGGGGGCATCCCATTTCCTGTGCTTTGGAACCAATCATTATGGCAGAATTAAAGTTTCCATCAAGTTGATTGCTTATCTTAGACCTATTTTCATGTACCCTTAGGCTTATGTTTAATTAGCTATGTCTACAAAAATTTGAAGATTTAAAGAAATTTTGTTCAGGTCGGTAAAAGCTGGAACAAATGGGGAGAGGGTTGATCTCTATTCAGAAGCTACCCGTGTGGGCAGAAAAAAATAAGATGTTTTTGCCCTGGTAGTGGCGTAATGGGTATTGAAAACGGAATAACAGAAATATGATCTTGAATAGTGGAAGGATTAATCTGTTCATTTAAATAATATAGCTGAAATTATCAATTTTTTGGAATATTTGATAATGCCTGTGTATTTTGATTCCATCCTTTTACATATTTGAGTAATGTATATTTCTACATCTAAGTTAAAGGAGTGTTTCTCTGAAAGCACAATGCTGTGTTTTAAATTTACATACAGAAGTTGACTTAATTGTAGCTGAAGTACTTTTTATTTGCATGCAGTATGCCACCTTTAGATGTTTTTATTTGTTATTTTTAATTTTGTATTTTTCGCCCATTCTAGGAGGAGTCTTTTAGGCAAACAAAATCAGCCACCCCACCCAGTGATGAGAGGGAAGATGAGGTGTCCCCACCACCCCCCTTAGTTACCCCCAGGAAACCAAACAGAAACAGAAGGGGTGCAGTTAGTGCAGAGCCTGTTACCGAAGAGGATTTAGGAAGCTTTGTTAAAACAGTAAGTCTGTATTTGATGTATTCATAACAAAAGATGATCCGTGGACTAACAGATCCATGGGTCAAATATAGCCAACAAAATTGAATGCTAACCACGTAATTTCTGCAGGTAAACTATTCAGGGGATCATGCAGCAAGCTTTCAAGTTGGTCGACCATATTTGATCTGCAAATCAAATGTGGTCCATTGATCAACTTACAAGTTTTGAATGCGCCTCATTGTGATCATATAGCTGCAGTTTATGTGTGTGGCCATAATGTCTGTCACATTGAAATGTGCAGTAAGAGATCCAATTATCACTCCTGGTTTTGTTCAAATGAAAATTTGGTCTTATTACAGATTGTTAGCTTTCACCATTGTCATGAAGACAATTTTGCTTTTGAGTAAATGATAAATATTATTTCATTTTTCAGTTTTCAGAATTTTGATATTGCTGACACTTGTTTTTAAATTTATTAAAATCAGCATTATGTAGGAGTTAGTGCAGCACCGTTTCATTTTCTACCTGTTTTCTGATGTTGTTTATCAAGGTACTATATGTTTTCTATTCCTAAGCTTTTCCATAGAGTATCAGGTTCATTGTTATTGTTTACAAATTCCACTGGTTTCAGCTGATGGAGAGAACCATTTTCCCAGAATAAACTAGCCATTACTGGCATATGCATACATGCAAGTAAACAAAATTATGTATACTTGTGATAATTATATATTGGCAATCTTTGGAAGAAAGGTGGGTTCCCTTACCACAAGGAATGTACAGTGTGGTGGAATAAAATCCTCAGTGTGGTCTACAACATATCGCATTCAGATTGATACAGACATTGTCCTATCTTTCATCAAAACAGGAAATTTACTTCGCCTCATTCCCTTCTTAGAGGAACGATCACAATCTTGCTCACAGATATCATTGATGATATTGGAATGAGTGTTGACATCCTGAAGAAATTACATTAATCTAGATGTTTGATGTAGAAAGACCTCTGGTTGATTACATTGCTGTCAGCCATAAATGAAAAATGGCTACCTTAAAAACCCTCCGCCATAGTTGCTTTCTGGTCTTGGTAAACAAGATGGGTTGGAAAAGTTCACAGAATTTATTGATGATATGGGAATGGGTGTAGCAGGCAGCATGTGGAAATCACATTAAATGTTTAATGTAGTAATTATGGTTGATTTTGCTGCTATCTTTTGTTAACAAAGAATCCCTTCCAGGAGAAAACCTTAATGATATTTAGATTGTCTTTAAAAGAAGCCACAAAAGTTCAATCTGTAACAGGCATCAAAAGAAAGAATCCTGTGGCTTCCCTAAGAAAGTTGTATGTTAAACATTTATGTATTCCCTTGACTTCTAAGAACATGGTCTAATTATCGTTCTTTTACAAAATGGAAAGGGATTTTGTCCATTCTTGTGCATTTGATGCTTCGTTTTTCTACACAGTGTCTACATGAAAAATGTTCTCAGTTTACAAAGAAGTAGCAAAATTTAGTTGGTTTTAGATATCAAAAGATTGATGTCTCCTGCAGCAGGCACTTTTTTGAAGACGACCATCTTTCTTAATTTAAGTGACTCCTTTTTTTTTTAAGAAGAGAAGCCGTGTTTGTGTTTTTGTATGTTTGTGTGTGTGTGAGAGAGAGAGAGAGAAAGAGAGAGCGAGCAGAGATGAGTAGCCTATCAAACATGCCAAGTTGAAATATCATTTAGACTTTATTTATTTATTGGTTTGGCCTGACTTGAGTATCAGTAGCTTGAATATGGTACTAGCCCATGAAAATCTTATGACTTGTAGTTGAACACCAAGTCATAGTATTGATTATTCTTCAGATAGTGGACAGCGTTGTCGACATACATGGGAATAACAATAAGGAAGTAGATTGAGTATGTAAAATTTACCCTTGGAGTGATGCTAAAATCATTGTGTAATGAGTATTTGTCAAAAGACTCCTTTCCTTTGTTACTAGTACAGATTGCAGTTCAACCATTCTATATATTTTGTCAGAAATTAGGCAGTCGTGTTTATAGGGTTTTGTATTTGCAAATTTCTGTATGGTGAAAGACAGTAAGAACACATATATATTCGAATTTCATGCAAATTTTTATTGATATTTTAGGGCAATTTATATTTGTCCATTTGCATTACCTTTGGATAATCTTAAGAAATCTTCATCAAGATATGTAAAACATTAGTAGTCCACACAGGATGTTGCAGAACAACCAAAAATTGGATGGTATTTCAATTTAGTGCAATCCATTGGATTAAAAAACCTTTGAGCATTATACTTTTTCGTCTGTTGACAAATTACAGTTTTGTGCTAATGTATCAGAGACGAGATTATCTCTAGTTTCAATACACACTCGTAATTTTGAACTTTCTGCGAATCTGCTTTATAAACAGCAAAATGTCAGGTCCTTTGAGCATTGGGCTTGTGTTTTACATAATGGCAAAAAGCAGGCTGGTTTTATACTTGATAAACCACCTTAGGTTCCATGTGTTTTTTAACAGCATATGCTGGTTTCAGATCCATTTTTGGTATTGGATCAACTTGCATCATTAGAAAACAAGAATATATTCTTTGTCTTTCGGTTAAAGATATAAGTAAATTTGTCTGGACAGACCTTTCATGTCCCATGGCTTTTTTGATATATTCATAAATCCCTGTTGAATTACTTGTTAGCAACAAAATCATGCAAGCCACATGAACTGTAGGAATACTGAGGCATTGATTTCTGATCTCTGTAGTATTCTGTGCACATAATAAACATGAACTAAGATGCCCAAAATTGGATTAGCATTATTTGGGTATTGGAAGTTCAGTGTTGGGAATAATGTACATGTTATTTTGCTTGTTTAAGATTTTTTGATCACTCACTTGTTTCAGTTGACTCCATTAATGTCATGTTTTTCCCCTATAAGTGGACTTTTAAAACCAATTTAGAGAAATTTCTGAAATCCTTTACTCACTAAAGTAGTTTTATTCGTTTACTCAACATTTGACTGATAGACTATTGTTTAATTATGTATTATGGGATACCAAGAAATAATGTTTGCGTAATGTATTTTATATGCAAAGAAAAATAAAATTTTATCATTTTTGTTTAGGTTGTCCCCAAGGACTACAAAACAATGGCAGCTTTGTCCAAAGCAATTTCCAAGAATGTCCTGTTTTCTCATTTAGATGATAATGAGAGAAGGTACGTATACTCCTATTCACATTACATGTTACTTAAACAGGTATTCATTTTTATGTAAGTATAACCAGTATCTAGGAAGTTAAAGTGAAATGACATGCCTTTGTTAATTATCACCACCTGGCTGCATTGTAAAGGATTAACTCTTGGTAATTTTGTTTGGAAGGCGACCTCAGACAATCGCTTTAATGGTTAATCAATAAATTTGTCTAACTTATTTAACATCTTCTTCCTGAATTTGAAACTGAAACTGGCAAGATTCTCCTCCTGAACATTTAAGTTGGAAATTTATTTTTCCTGCTTGTATAAATTTTTATTTCATAACTTTTACATCAGCTTGTACAGGCAATTTAAATTTATACAAATGAATGTTGAAAAATAATGAGAGCAATATGAACAACCATGTTAAGACTAGAATTTAAAAGTGATCAGAATGTTTGTTCTGCGTTTTTATGTACAGACACAGATGTGTCTGTACATATTGCCATCACCTGCGTCTGTCGTCGCCGTCGTCGCCGTCGCTGTCGCCGTCGGCGCCTTGCACTTTCCTTGTAAACACGATAAGTGGAAGGCAGTTTTACTTTTTGGCTTTATATTTACAGAGCTGATGAATATTCATAAAACGCAGGTCAAGTTCTAAAATCAGCATGATCGGGCCATTATTGTAGAAGTTATGCTGTTTTTTCACTTTTCAGCATATATACAACACTGTAAACACATTTCAAGGAAAACCGATAGGCCTGTTGTCGTGAAACTCTCAGGAATAATCGATCTTACTAAAACGGAGGTCAAGTTCGAAAATCGGCATGCAGCCTGAGTTGGAAAAGCAGTCTAATTGGCTTCTTTTTCTGGAAGTTATACATTTTCAAAGTGTGAACTTGAACTCTCATGGGCCTGAAGCCTTATGCTTGTTACACATTTTACTTTCATTGGTATTACCTGTTGAGCATAATTAAAATTTGATGTTGAATTTACAGTTTAACATAATGTACTTTTGCATCTGAATTGACAGTAGCCTATTTTGTGCATAGTTATTTCCTGCTTTTTGTCTGTACATTTGACAGCTTTGCTGCCTTGTTGGTATTGGATCAACTTGCATCATTAGAAAACAAGAATATATTCTCTGTCTTTCGGTTAAAGATATAAGTAAATTTGTCTGGACAGACCTTTCATGTCCCATGGCTTTTTTGATATATTCATTAATCTCTGTTGAATTACTTGTTAGCAACAAAATCATGCAAGCCACATGAACTGTAGGAATACTGAGGCATTGATTTCTGATCTCTGTAGTATTCTGTGCACATAATAAACATGAACTAAGATGCCCAAAATTGGATTAGCATTATTTGGGTATTGGAAGTTCAGTGTTGGGAATAATGTACATGTTATTTTGCTTGTTTAAGATTTTTTGATCAGTCACTTGTTTCAGTTGACTCCATTTATGTCATGTTTTCCCCCTATAAGTGGACTTTTAAAACCAATTTAGAGAAATTTCTGAAATCCTTTACTCACTAAAGTAGTTTCATTCGTTTACTCAACATTTGACTGATAGACTATTGTTTAATTATGTATTATGGGATACCAAGAAATAATGTTTGTGTAATGTATTTTATATGCAAAGAAAAATAAAATTTTATCATTTTTGTTTAGGTTGTCCCCAAGGACTACAAAACAATGGCAGCTTTGTCCAAAGCAATTTCCAAGAATGTCCTGTTTTCTCATTTAGATGATAATGAGAGAAGGTACGTATACTCCTATTCACATTACATGTTGTAAACTTAAATAGGTATTCATTTTTATGTAAGTATAACCAGTATCTAGGAAGTTAAAGTGAAATGACATGCTTTTGTTAATTATCACCACCTGGCTGCATTGTAAAGGATTAACTCTTGGTAATTTTGTTTGGAAGGCGACCTCAGACAATCGCTTTAATGGTTAATCAATAAATTTGTCTAACTTATTTAACATCTTCTTCCTGAATTTGAAACTGAAACTGGCAAGATTCTCCTCCTGAACATTTAAGTTGGAAATTTATTTTTCCTGCTTGTATAAATTTTTATTTCATAACTTTTACATCAGCTTGTACAGGCAATTTAAATTTATACAAATGAATGTTGAAAAATAATGAGAGCAATATGAACAACCATGTTAAGACTAGAATTTAAAAGTGATCAGAATGTTTGTTCTGCGTTTTTTTCTTGTGTAATGGAACAAAACGGAACAGAAAAGCTGACATTGTGAAAAAATATCTTATATATGTAACCTGTCAAGAGTTTTCAGCCATCTTAGGCATTAAACTGAAATGAATCATCTATGAATGGATTCTCCATGTAAAAAAATCAGGTTTTACAATTAATATAAAATCAATAATGTTGTGTATTGGCTGAGGTATAGGGTGGTCTTCAGTGAACAGTAGGTAATTATCACAAAGCATAAACCTCTGTTGAAATAGTCTGACCAATTTTTATTTCAGATCATTAACTGTCATATTGTCCTTGCTTAGTGAATGTTATCTTTTGTCGAAATCTTTAAGCAAAATCTTTAAACGACATTGAGATGACCACGACTCTGCAGGACTGTCATAGATATAGAGTGATTAATTAATTTTTTGGCCTTTGGGTGATTATAATTTTTTTGTCTGTCATGAATGTGAAAATTGTGATACAATTTTCGGTCCATTTTAAATGAATGACCAATGATATGAAGCTGGCTTTTGAAGAAAGGAGAATTATTTTCAATTGGTTGGGCATTTGAGATGTCAAGTGACCAGAGATGAATTTATGAAATTTTCCCCAAACTGTGGCAGTTGTCCAACTTAATTTCACATGTACGATAAATGACATATATGAGATAAAGTCCACCTTTCATAGATAGAAATCATGCCCTAAGAATTCAAGATGATCTATCTATAAAAAGTAGCTGAATTCATTGGATGTTCAATTGGGTATATTTTCTTCACGATGCTGGACAATGCCAGTATGTTTTGTCTCATTACTTTTTGCCAGAACTAAATCCTCAAATATAAATCAATTGATAATAGCTGCAGAGACAGAAGTTATATTGTTTTTACTGCATAAAAGGAAATGATATAGTTTTATGTTTGCCAGCATGTACCTTGTTACTTACTGGCATCTAAAAACTGCAGGTTTTTAACCATGCCATTACCTTAATCACACATTAAAAGTGCTGACTGTTGTTTCAACCTTGTCATATCAGCAGTGTCTACAATAACCTGTTGGAGATTGAAATTGGGAATGCATGTTCGAAAAAAAGACAATTCATTTGGAAGCTGTAGTTGGAAATTTTGACATTTTTGCCCAACAATGAGAATAATTCCCTAGTTGCTAGCGAACAACTCCTACATGCAGTATAGGTAATGTGTCATTTAGATAATGGACTCTCCTGTTGCAAGACAAAAAGCTCAGGGATTGTTCTTTATTTTTCTAGTACATTATGGCTCAAAACTGAAGAAAAACATAAATTGAAAATGCTTATAGTTATGACTAAATGAATAAATCAATGAGTGCATGACAGAGTAAACTGGATAATAGAATAATGTACTAGTAATAGACAAATAAATGCATAGATTTTCTTTAAACTTGGTAAATAATGAAATGAGTTAATAGACAAATAGATAAATAGATGAAATAGTATATGTATAAAATAATAATAGATGAATAAGATGACATTTGATGGATAATTAAAGAAAAAAATGCTTGTGAAATGGATGATAGCATTCGTCTTAGGTCTTAGATGAATTGAAATAAAGATATCAAGATCATTAGTGGGAATCTAAAGGTGGACAGTAATGACCAAAGGAAGAACTGGCTTTGATTTAATTATCAATTTGATCCTGCCATGGGTCATGCCAAAGAAAGTTCAACGTCAACTTCATTAGAAAATGAATCCATTATGATAATGTCTTTCACACTCAAATTAAATTGATAGTGTGTTGCATGTTTTTCAAGTCTTCCAACAATGACAATAAAGAAAAAAGCACTGGCATTTCAAAACATTCCTTAAATGTAGGAAAATGACATGGTGATGGCATTGATCAGACAATTAACTTATTGATTTTGACTTCTTCATTGATTTAAAGAAAAAAAATTCTTTTATTTTTTCAGTGATATTTTTGATGCCATGTTTCCCGTGATCAGGCATTCTGGAGAAGTTATTATTCAGCAGGGTAAGTAAGGGCAAATTAACACTACTTTTCTGGCGTGTTATTTACTGAATGTTGGCACTATAGAGGGTAGTAAGAGAAATGCTCATAATTCACATATCCAATTCTCTGGCCATAGCATTAAGCTGTGGTCGTAGTGAACGTATTCTGCAATAGATAGCTAGTAATGTAATTCTCGAGAAGCTGAGACCTGTTATGATTTAGAATGACTGCTTTTTCATAATGTGTATGTAATATTTGTGTAACTTCAGTTCTTGGTATTAATTCATCTTTTTTTTATCTAGTCATATTTATAATGAATATGTTGTAAACTTTTGTCGAAGAATTCTCAGATCTGTGAGAAAAGATCCTCCTTTTTTTAAAACGAGAGCACTGTATTGAAATATTGCCGAATATGATCCAGCCTGATGTAGACAAGTACTCTTCCAAATGACATTTAAACACTATTGTGTGTTCAGAACGTAATAGTAATACCACTGTGACCTCTGCTATTGTATAGTGTGATCTACTGAAACAATCAGGAAACGATATCGATTGAAATTTTTACCACAAAGTGTTTCATACACTGTTCACCAAAATTATTATCAGTTCCTAACATGCTAACTTCACACGTTCAAAAAAAAATAATGTAGGACAATAATAGGATTGTCTTGAAATTTCCCCGTTGGTTTCCTATGATAACAAACTTCAGATGGCCTTGTGTAAGGTGTCTGTGTGTGCCGTAATTGGATTGTGATTGATTTTGTAATTAACTTGAAAATTTTGCTCGTGTTAGGTGTTAGGCATTGAAAGGTTATTCTATACAGAGCTTTCAGATGTTTTAGTATCTGAGTGGGTGATATGGTTTGGTGTGCCTGGTTTGTCATCAGTGATGTAGTACATAGGATGCATAGGTTACTGTAGTACACTGTACAAATAACTGTCCTTGAATGCAGTGGCAATTGTTATCAGCAGAATGCAAAAATAAGTGAAGAAATAAAAAATGTTCCCCTTGGCAATGCTTACCATTCTTTTGATGGAATGAAAACTTGTGAAGGAGAGAATACTGTAAAATATTACCTAGCTTCATTCTTTTCCCCATTTATAACTATACAAAAAATTCATAATAAAGGTGATTTTAATGTTGAAGAAAAAGTTTTTTTTAAAAAAAGCATAATTTATCTTTTGGTCCATCCATAACAAGTTTGGTGATGAACCAGCTAATTGGCTAAAACAAAAAGTTTATCATGGGCCATTTTCATGGCATGAAAATATATTTTCATTGATCACATAGTTTTATTGTAGAGCAAACAGTTATGTCAATACTTGTAATATGGGTAAAGTGATGTAAACTTGTAAAACAAATGTGCTTACATGGTAACATTACCCATGGTATTGATAATGAGACACTCTCTCCATAGTGTTCCTATTCTAGGAATTACCACTTATATGCCAATCTCACTAATGGAAATATGTACACTAAATGGCAGCTAACGTGACAGATAAATCGGATGGTTCTATAGTTCAATGCTCTCTGTAGTGTAATTTTTGATGTTGAAGTGTCATGCAAGAACTTTTGTATATGTCTCCCTATGCAGACTGAAAGGGTTTTCAAAGGGACCTTCAGTTGATGGTTCAGTGGTTTTCAGATGATGGCAAGTCTAAAAGTTGTTACATTTACTTTTGCATTTCTGCTCATTGTCAGCAGATGGACCAGCAACTGCATCAGTTATTTGATGATAGATTTTTATATGTGAAAAAGAGAATAACATGCAACTTTTGACAACTTTCAACATTTTGTCAGAGTAACCCATAATGACATATAATGACTCCAAATTTTGGGTCCAGAATGTTCCTCCACCCTAGTCAACCCATGTATATATGACCACTTAAATGATTTCCAACAAGGTTGTTTGTTTCTTAAAATAATATAGAAGTCGTGTGTTTTAGCAAACCGAACAGGGTGTCACCAACAGATATATATCTGCTGTATGACAACATTGAACAGCGGTCTATCATTGTAGTATGACCACAAGATGTTCTTAATCTAAAAGAATAAAAAAAAATGGTGAGAAAAGATCAATATATCTCATCATGACATCTTCTTTGGTGATTTGTATGTAGGAGGAAATGACTTCAGTAAATGTCTGTGATAAATGAAGTCTATATGCTCATCTGTCTGGATTTTCTTATTTTTCAGGGGATGAAGGAGACAACTTCTATGTAATTGATCAAGGAGAAGTGGATGTAAGTGATACTTTTCTTACTGTTCATGCCACTTGGTTATTTAATCATGCCATCAAATATTCACCCTGAGATACCTCATTGGTGTTAAAGGGGGGAAAAATTACCTTCGATTCAGAACCAAACACATTTTTTAAAACACAGTAATGTTAAGTGAGGTGTTGAATAGTAAAGAAAAAAGGAAAGACGGACTGGAAATATGTTAAGTTGAACTGTAGATTGTGGATAAGATAAAAGAAGTATTGGATATCAGACTGCACATTCCCACAAGATGTGTTCATGATCCAGAAATTATCTTCGTGTTCACCAGATAATATACCCAGGAGAAATTGGTGCTATTTCATTACTCCAACAGACATTTATGACTATAGATTTTTTTCCTCCCTTATTGTACCACCAGCGTAGGCGCTGGCGGTACCCATGGTTTTAGTCCCGACCCGTATGTTCCGCCGGCTCCGCCGGCTCCTGCGGCTCCTGCGGCTCCGCCGGCTCCGCCGCCATGTTACCGTTACCGCTTCTCCTCCTAGACGNTAGTTTGATGATAGATTTTTATATATATAAAAAAAAAGAATAACATGCAACTTTTGACAACTTTCAACATTTTGTCAGAGAGTAACCCATAATGACATATAATGACTCCAAATTTTGGGTCCAGAATGTTCCTCCACCTAGTCCACCCATGTATATGTGTCCACTTAATTGCTTTTCAAACAAGGTTGTTTGTTTCTTAAAATAATATAGAAGTCGTATGTTATAGCAAGCTGAACAGGGTGTCACCAACAGATATATATCTCCTGTATGACAACATTGTACAGTGGCCTATCATTGTAGTATGACCACAAGATGTTCTTAATCTAAAAGAATAGTAAAAAAAAATGGTGAGAAAAGATCAATATATCTCATCATGACATCTTCTTTGGTGATTTGTATGTAGGAGGAAATGACTTCAGTTAATGCCTGTGATAAATGAAGTCTATATGCTCATCTGTCTGGATTTTCTTATTTTTCAGGGGATGAAGGAGACAACTTCTATGTAATTGATCAAGGAGAAGTGGATGTAAGTGATACTTTTCTTACTGTTCATGCCACTTGGTTGTTTAATCATGCCATCAAATCTTCACCCTGAGATACCTTATTGGTGTAAAAGGGGGAAAGTTACCTTCGATTCAGAACCAAACACATTTTTTAAAACACAGTAATGTTAAGTGAGGTGTTGAATAGTAAAGAAAAAAAAGAAAGATGGACTGGAAATATGTTAAGTTGAACTGTAGATTGTGAATAAGATAAAAGAAGTATTGGATATCAGACTGCTCATTCCCACAAGATGTGTTCATGATCCAGAATTTATCTTCTTGTTTACCAGATAACATACCCAGGAGAATTTGGTGCTATTTCATTACTCCAACAGACATTTATGACTATAGATTTTTTCCTCCCTTATTCTCCATGTACTTTTTAAGTTCAGAAATTGCACACACCAGAGGACATTGTGTGACATCTTATTATTGTGTGTGTGTGTTGAGATTTGGATTTACTGTGGCTGTTTCACAATGTATTGTTATGGCTGATGCACTTGAAAAGAATCAATGCTCACCACTGTCCTACTTGCCCTTTCTAGCACCCCATTTCCATAGATTTTTAGATCGATCTATCCCTGTGGGGAGTCTTACTAGATTACTGTCAGCTTGGCCGGCTTAAGCGTCTGTCCCGCCTACTAAAAGCTGTAAGGGGGTAATTAACTATGGTGCCCGCTCGGCTGACTGCAATTTAGCGTGAACCCCCAGGGAGTTAGGTCGATCTAAATCTTAATCTCTAGATCGATCTCAATCTCTGGGAAAGCACCCTAGGAGGCAGCATGGTTGACCTTGGTATCATAGGGTCATGACCATATTTGAGAAGTTTTCAAATTAGATTTGCCTTTGAGGTCTATATATGGCTAATAACCAACAACCCACCGTCAGTAGTTCATATCATTTCCAATTCTCTGGTCATTACCTTCCATATGAAAAATGTATGATGTGGATTTTGTGGTTGGAATGGAAAGTGAAGAATCAACTGAGACAGCCCAATGTCCTGTGCCTCAGCACACAGATAGTTTATCTCTGTTCAACCGGTATTCTGGCTGCCAACTTTCATAATTTGATAAAAGTACCTCTCCGTTGCTGTTAAATGCATAGCCAGGCAAAGGAATGTATCATTAAATATATTGCAAAACAGTTCTTATTGTTCACCTGGCAGATTGTGGTGTGGAACCCTGCTTGCAAGTCAACTTTTTTTTGTGTACTGTGTGTTTGCCAGCTTTGCTGTCCAGGTATTGTGTCCTTTTGGTGGAACACTGAACTTCTAGTGCCTCTATGTGCCCAGCTATTGACATCGGTACCAACACAGTACACTGGAATGTTTCATAGACTTAAATTCTCTCAGTGAACAAAGAATGATCTGTGTGGCTTCCTTGTTTACAATATAGAGGAAGCACTGGTTTATTTCCCCCAGAGAGCTGACTTTTTTGAGTGGTAGCCTAAGCTTATTTAACTAAATACTAGTTTTGGTTGTAAAATATGTCTTTGGGATATTTTGATTACCAATATGGGAGTAATTTTCCTTGAAATAAACGTATGTATTTTTCCAAGATTCTGATTATATATGAGAAGTAATGGGATCATGTGAAATTACCTAAAACGAGCTCGATGCTGTTGACACTGTTTGGCATACAAGAGTAAAAAAATTAATGAGAATTGGTGAGAGTTCCGGTTAACATTTTAGAGAAAAGGGTGAAATTCAATACTCTGGAAATATCATCTTAGAGAGCAATTTAAAGGTGACATCCAAAAATGTGGTGAATTTGTGCTGTGTGCAATATACTGTGACTGTAAGAAAAAACAATCCACAAGAAAAAATATCCATGGCTAAATTCTGTCAGCTGTTTTAAGTTGTTGCTGCAAATTTCTTAGAGTGCCATTCTTTCTGACCCCACTCTCCTATAAACCCTGCAGATTTTATGCTGTGTTGAAATGTTGGGGTATTTTGTATGATCCCCATGGGTTGAGTCCATTTTAAATCTATTTTTTATTCTCTTTAATAAAATTGAAATGAAATTAAAAGCCAAAGGTTGATATCTTGTTTGGGTCCAATTAATTTGATTGATTAATAGGTTGAGTTGGGATAAGTATTAAACCAAAAATCTTAAGTAGCCTTCAGTTGATCTTCTAAGATATGAATTTGCTCTTGCTTTTGCCATTTCAAAGTATGGAAACGCTAAAGAAATTTGCTATCACAGGAATAGTCTTCAATTCAAGAAATGAGACACTGGATTTCCTGGCTTTTCAAATAAGTTCGATATCCTATGGATCTAACTAAGAAGATTATGTCAAACAAGTGTCTGCAGCAGGATTAGATTCCACATTTTCCATTTCATAAAATTCTTCTGTCAGTTGTCCAGGAAAAGGAGATATATCAATTCTTTGATATATTCCAATGTTATTGATTTTATAATATTTGTTTTTGTACCATGGATACCAGGTCATTCTTGAAGTCTAAAAGAAAGACATTTGCTTGAAATATTACGTTCAGGCTAGTTTTAAGATGATAGGAAGAAGGGATAAGATTGCTGTGCCCAGTGAAAATTTTGTTTATTCAATTTGTACGCTACTGTTGGATTGGAGAATTCTTGGCCTTTCTGACCTAAAAAGTTGGTGTTAATGTAACTGATTGTAAGATGGGCTGTGTGCTACTCATCACAAAGTATTTGATTGTTTTCCTGATGATGAACTCTCTGAGTACATTTTGTAGTATTTGTTGTTTTATGTTAATTTTGGTTGAAATTGCGTAAACAAAATACTGCTCGACAGCGCCGGGGTGTATGTTAAGTCGATTACATTCAGGCATTGGTTAGGTTTAACTTTTTATACAGGCACTTGGCCTGATATGCGCAGTGGTGGTTGATTGTCACAGCACTAGTTTTGAACAGCATTTGTATAGCAGCGGCAGGAGGTGTAGGATGAGTGACAGCAAAGCAGTTATAGACAATTAATTATCTCTCCCTCCCGACTCTTCTTTTTGTATTGTTCAGTTCCTTATTTATATTCTTCATAGTAAATGTAGATTTAGAGAAATTATATCAGGTGTTGCACTGGGATTGCCATTACCTTTATTTTATTTTTGCATTGTTGGAATGCGCGGTGAGATGCTAAGACAAGGAATATTCATGGTACCATAATCCACAAAGGCAATTATATCTTACCACACTGAGTAGTCCCACCAGTTCAATTAGCAATCATTCAATAACAGATGTGGAAGTCCACTGAGATTTTCGAGCCTTAAAATGCTTCCAAAGTGAGTTTTGGGTTACCAGGACCTGAGTCTTGGGTTACCAGGACCGCCTCAACCAAATGTGAAACTGGACAATCAGAATACAAAGAATGTTCCAGATGTATTAAAATATATGTGGATCTTTGTTTTGAAAGAATGGGAAAAAATGTCCAAGTTGTTAAAATTTTGTTATATGACCAGATATTTATTAATAAATTAATGTTTCTAACTAATGTTATGTTTTGATGAAAATGTCTAAATTGCACTAAATTTTGCCATGTCATCGTCACATTGCAAATAAAATGATATGATGAAATTAAAAGTTTATTTTAAAATAAGATCAAAACTTATTTCCATAACTATGCTTTTTTTCCCTACAATTTCAGATCTACGTGAATAATGAACATGTGACAAACATTGGTGAAGGGGGCAGTTTTGGGGAGCTGGCTCTCATCTATGGTACCCCCAGGGCAGCCACAGTCAAGGTAAATGACAGCACATACGTAGCTCTCCAGCTCTGTTGCACAAGTAGGGTACCATTGATTTCTGCCATTGGTCCCATGTCTAATGCAAGTGGCTTACCTTGAGTATAACTCGGAGTGTGCACATTGGCAGTCTACTTATACTGCTCTTTTTTTACGCGATACAAATTGATTTTTAACCACATACTATAGATTTGAATTTTTAAATCAGATTTGTATTTAGAAAAAAAAACTTTGTGCAGGTTAAAAATCAGTTCTCATTGCATGTAAAATCACTTAATTTTTAAATGTTCAATACATACATATGCCAACTAAATGCAATGTTTGTGGCAAAATGTGCTTTATAAAAATGTTTTCACATATTTAAAATGGTGTAAATTGTGCCCATGGATTGGATCTGTATGTTACTGTGACAGTTATTTGGATAACACAAGGATGTTCNTCTGATCCTCTAGTTCTCCATGTACTTTTTAAGTTCAGAAATTGCACACACCAGAGGACATTGTGTGACATATTATTAGTGTGTGTGTGTTGAGATTTGGATTTACTGTGGCTGTTTCACAATGTATTGTTATGGCTGATGCACTTGAAAAGAATCAATGCTCACCACTGTCCTACTTGCCCTTTCTAGCACCCCATTTCCATAGATTTTTAGATCGATCTATCCCTGTGGGGAGTCTCACTAGATTACTGTCAGCTTGGCCGGCTTAAGCGTCTGTCCCGCCTACTAAAAGCTGTAAGGGGGTAATTAACTATGGTGCCTGCTCGGCTGACTGCAATTTAGCGTGAACCCCCAGGGAGTTAGGTCGATCTAAATCTTAACCTCTAGATCGATCTAAATCTCTGGGAAAGCACCCTAGGAGGCAGTATGGTTGACCTTGGTATCATAGGGTCATGACCATATTTGAGAAGTTTTCAAATTAGATTTGCCTTTGAGGTCTATATATGGTTACTAACCAACAACCCACCATCAGTAGTTCATATCATTTCCAATTCTCTGGTCATTACCTTCCATATGAAAAATGTATGATGTGGATTTTGTGGTTGGAATGGAAAGTGAAGAATCAACTGAGACAGCCCAATGTCCTGCGCCTCAGCACACAGAAAGTTTATCTCTGTTCAACCGGTATTCTGGCTGCCAACTTTCATAATTTGATAAAAGTACCTCTCTGTTGCTGTTAAGTGCATAGCCAGGCAAAGGAATACATCATTAAATATATTGCAAAACAGTTCTGGATGGTCACCTGGTAGATTGTGGTGTGGAACCCTGCCTGCAAGTCATCTTTTTTTATTGTGTACTGTGTGTTTGCCAGCTTTGCTGTCTAGGTATTGTGTCCTTTTGGTGGAGCACTGAACATCTAGTGCCTCTGTGTGCCCAGCTATTGACATCGGTACCAACACAGTACACTGGAAAGTTTGATAGACTTAAATTCTCTCTGTGTGCAAAGAATGATCTGTGTGGCTTCCTTGTTTACAATATAGGGAGAAGCACTGGTTTATTTCACCCAGAGAGCTGACTTTTTGAGTGGTAGCCTAAGTTTATTTAGCTAAATACTAGTTTTGGTTGTAAAAGATGTCTTTGGGATATTTTGATTACCAATATAGGAGTAATTTTCCTTGAAATGAGAGTATGTATTTTTCCAAGATTCTGATTAAATATGAGAAGTAATGGGATCATGTGAAATTACCTAAAACAAGCTCGAGGCTGTTGACACTGTATGGCATGCAAGAGTAAAAAAAAATTATGAGAATTGGTGAGAGTTCCGGTTAACATTTTAGAGAAAAGGGTGAAATTCAATACTCTGGAAATATCATCTTAGAGAGCAAGTTAAAGGTGGCAGCCAAAAATGTGGTGAATTTGTGCTGTGTGCAATATACTGTGACTGTAAGAAAAAACAATCCACAAGAAAAAAATATCCATGGCTAAATTCTGTCAGCTTTTAAAAGTTGTTGCTGCAAATTTCTTAGAGTGGCTTTCTTTCTGACCCCACTCTCCTATAAACCCTGCGGATTTTATGCTGTGTTGAAATGTTGGGCTATTTTGTATGATCCCCATGGGCCGAGTCCATTTTAAATATGATTTTTATTCTCTTTAATAATATTGAAATGAAATTAAAACCCAAAGGTTGATTTCTTGTTTGGGTCCAATTAATAGGTTGAGTTGGGTTAAAGTATTAAAGCAAAAATCTTTAGTAGCCTTCAGTTGATCTTCTAAGATATGGATTTGCTCTTGCTTTTGCCATTTCAAAGTATGGAAAAGCTAAAGAAATTTGCTATTACAGGAATAGTCTTCAATTCAAGAAATGAGACACTGGATTTCCTGGCTTTTCAAATAAGTTCGATATCCTATGGATCTAACTAAGAAGATTATGTCAAACAAGTGTCTGCAGCAGGATTAGATTCCACATTTTCCATTTCATAAAATTCTTCTGTCAGTTGTCCAGGAAAAGCAGATATATCAATTCTTTGATATATTCCTGTGTTATTGATTTTATAATATTTGTTTTTGTACCATGGATACCAGGTCATTCTTGAAGTCTAAAAGAAAGATATTTACTTGAAATATTATGTTCAGTCTAGTTTAAAGATGATAGGAAGAAGGAGAAAGATTGCTTGTGCCCAGTGAAAATTTTGTTTGTTCAATTTGTACCCTACTGTTGGATTGGAGAATTCTTGGCCTTTCTGGCTTAAAAAGTTGGTGATAATATAACTGATTGTAAGAGCTGTTGGGTGCTCCTCGTCACAAAGTATTTGATTGTTTTCCTGATGATGAACTCTCTAAGTGCATTTTGTAGTATTAGTTTTTTTATGTTAATTTTGGTTGAAATTGCGAAAACAAAATACTGCTCGACAGCGCCGGGGTGTATGTTAAGTCGATTACATTCAGGCATTGGTTAGGTTTAACTTTTCATACGGGCACTTGGCCTGATATGCGCAGTGGTGGTTGATTGTCACAGCACTAGTTTCGAACAGCATTCTCATAGCAGCGGCAGGAGGTGTAGGATGAGTGACAGTGGAGCAGTTATAGACAATTAATTCTCTCTCTCCCGACTCTTCTTTTTGTATTGTTCAGCTCCTTATTTATATTCTTCATAGTAAATGTAGATTTAGAGAATTTATATCAGGTGTTGCACTGGGATTGCCATTACCTTTATTTTATTTTTGCATTGTTGGAATGCGCGGTGAGATGCTAAGACTAGGAATTTTCATGGTACCATAATCCACAAAGGCAATTATATCTTACCACACTGAGTAGTCCCATCAGTTCAATTAGCAATCATTCAATAACAGATGTGGAAGTCCACTGAGATTTTCGAGCCTTAAAATGCTTCCAAAGTGAGTTTTGGGTTACCAGGACCCGAGTCTTGGGTTACCAGGACTGCCTCAACCAAATGTGAAACTGGACAGTCAGAATACAAAGAATATTCCAGATGTATTAAAATATATGTGGATCTTTGTTTTGAAAGAATGAGAAAAAAATGTCCAAGTTGTTAAAATATTGTTATATGACCAGATATTTATTAATAAATTAATGTTTCTAACTAATGTTATGTTTTGATGAAAATGTCTAAATTGCACTTAATTTTGCCATGTCATCATCACATTGCAAATAAAATGATATGATGAAATGCATTAAAAGTTTATTTTAAATTAAGATCAAAACTTATTTCCATAACTATGCTTTTTTCCCCTACAATTTCAGATCTATGTGAATAATGAACATGTGACAAACATTGGTGAAGGGGGCAGTTTTGGCGAGCTGGCTCTTATTTATGGTACCCCCAGGGCAGCCACAGTCAAGGTAAATGACAGCACATACGTAGCTCTCAGGCTCTGTTGTACGAGTAGAGTACCTTTGATTTCTGCCATTGGTCCCATGTCTTCTGCAATTGGCTTACCTTAAGTAACTCGGGAGTATGTACAATGGCGGTCTACTTATACTGCTCTTTTGACACAATACAAATTGATTTTTAACCACATAATATAGATTTGAATTTTTTAATCAGATTTGTATTTAGAAAAAAAAAGCATTGGGCAGGTTAAAAATCAGTACTCATTGCATGTAGAATCACTTAGTTTTTAAATGTGCGATACATATATATGCCAATTAAATGTAATGTTTGTGGCAAAATGTGCTTTATAAAAATGTTTTCACATATTTAAAATGGTGTAAATTGTGCCCATGGATTGGATCTGTATGTTACTGTGACAGTTATTTGGATAACACAAGGATGTGCTTTGTTTAAGTTTTCTATATGTAGTGGCAACACATTTCATGTGTGTGTGTGTGTGTCCTACTTTTGTGAGAAAAGGAATATGACTACACAAAGGTTCTATTTTTCTGCAGTATGGATGTTTTATTATTTTATGTCTGTAGCTTTCAAGTACAAATGAAACAGTAGGACAGAAATGTTTTTCATTGTAATGCAGGTTTTTTTCCCATTAGTTTCAAATGAAAATGAATATTTCATGATTACAGGCAAAAACTGATGTGAAACTCTGGGGCATAGATAGGCAGACATACAGAAGAATTCTCATGGGCAGCACTATGCGTAAAAGAAAAATGTATGAAGAATTCCTTTCTAAGGTTTCCATACTAGGTGAGTATTCTTCACGTTTGATTTAATATTGAATGACAAAATGCATTGAATGTATTTTTTTTTTTTTTAGAAATCTTATGAAAAGCAAATGCTTTGAAAGGGTATTAAGAAAAAGGGTTATAAAGGGTTCTTTTATATTTTGTCCTTTTTTGGGTTAAATGATGACAGATAATAGATATTTAACACAAATGCAAAAAAAAGTTTATAAAATTTCCATTGTTCTCTGCCAAATGGTATTTTTTTACTTGAAGGAAGGATATCATGAATATTTATGACAATTTTTCTTTCAGAAAACTTGGACAAGTGGGAGCGCCTCACGGTGGCAGATGCCCTAGAACTGTGTAATTTTGAAGATGGACAGGAGATTGTGAAACAGGGAGAACCAGGAGATGACTTTTACATCATCACAGAGGTCAGAATACCAGTTTGATTTGATTACAATCATATTTAAGCAGCATATCATGATTTCTTCTTCTTATTATTATTATAATTAGAGAGAGGGGATCTTGGTTTTTTAATATAACAATAAAAAATAATGCCTTAATGATGATCTTGATTTCTTAATTATTTTTTCCTGCACACAGGGTACTGCCGCAGTACTTCAGAAAAGGACAGACAATGATGATCCAGTGGAGGTTGGGAGATTAGGACCATCAGATTACTTTGGTGAGTTTGAGATGTAAATATTCACAGAGATGGTGTAAAATGGTTAATCCTTATGCTAACTGATCAGACAGAAGAAAACTCTGGAGTCTGAAAATCGATAACAATTAAGGGAGGGAGATTTACTTATACAAAGACTGGAAAGTATTCCAGTTGATGTGGTAGAAGGAAATTCAGATTATGGAAATCACTGGCAGGAAAAGGAGAGCCGTAGAGAATGATCAGAATTTTCCAATTTTTATGTCCTCTATGCTAGCTAATGTTGTGGAAGGAAATTCAAACTTTAAAAAAATCAATAAGAAATAAAGCAGAGAGGTTAAATATTACCAAGATGGCAATTTTTTCCCCATCAATGTTAACTAATGTTGTAGAAGGACCTCCAGAGTTTGAAAATCAATAGCACTCGAGCAAAGCAGAAAGATTAGGTATGCTGTAGTGCCAAGTGAATTTAATTGCTCTTGCCAGTTCATCATTGTGGCTCCATACATATCGTCTTGGGAGGGGGCCCCGCTGGACCTTCCTGGTCTATAATATTCTCAGTACATACTGAGAGATGTATTCATATACATCTTTGGCTTGCACGCTGCAGGTGCCATTTTTCTCTCTCAGTAGGCCCTCAATAACATTTTATTTGAAATTAAAACCCCTGTCTCTTAAATAGAAGCCAAGTCGGACATTGTAATTTGTCAGGCAGATCCTCTGTTGAATTATGGAGCATTTATAAAAATGCTCAAGTGAATTACTGTAACAGTAGATTGCATTTGCGAATTGATTTAATCATGAGCAGTGCGTTGCCTTGGTTATGCTAATATCAATGTTTTTTATTATCTCCATTATTGAAATTGCTCTTATCCTGTACTGCCCCCTGATTTCTGCAGTAGTTTGAGTAAGGATCCCAGTACTGCAGAAGTGATACTTCAAAGTAATCTTTCATAATATAAGAAGGTGAACTTGACATCATCTTGGATGGTAAAACTGCCACATTTATTGATTGTTACCCTTTATTTTATTTTATTTATTTATTATTATTTTATTTATTTATTTATTTATTTATTTTTTGGTATCTTCCTTCCAGCCCTTTGTTATCTTGGTCGCTCCCCTGCATCTCCCCAGGATTTCAAATGCAACTGAGAACTTGTCATATTTTTTTTTCGCTTCCACCTTAATTGTCCATTTTTTTCTTTCCTCTCTCTCTTTTTTTTTCTCTTATTACTGAGCACTGTGATTTTTATGGAACTGCCTATTCAACCCTTTTACTGAGATTATCATTCATTGTCTGGGGTTGCTTACTTTCCACTATACTAAAGTAATTGCTCTCACCATAAGTCATTATTGGGCTGTCAGTGTTTCTACAGAAGCATTTCAACCACAAAAATGCTAAAGTACATCTTTTTCCCTGCAGGTGAGATTGCTCTCATCTTGGACAGGCCAAGGGCTGCCACCGTGATAGCGCGAGGACCTTTACAGTGCGTCAAGCTGGACAGGCAAAGATTCGAGCGACTGTTAGGCCCATGTGCTGATATCCTCAAAAGGAATATTGCACAGTACAATAGTTATGTATCACTCTCAGTGTAAACTGGACAGGGACGGATATGAATGTGGAGTTGCTTGGAAATTATTATGGTTTTTATCAGTAATATTTGCATGGAGAAAAGACGACTTTGTTCTGAATTAAAAAGGCAAATGCTAGTAGAAACTTGATTCAGTAAAATTTTGAGAATTTAAAGTTGACTTGAATGTCAAAACAGCACCAGTTTCCTTTGAAAATTGATATCCCTCAATTTTAGAATCCTTTTTTTTTTTTTTTTTCTTTTGGCAGACTGTTGTCTGATGAAATTGTGCCTTAATTTACCATTTAGCTTCCTTTCTGTTTTGATGGTTAACCTTAAAATTGCTTGTGAACTTTAAACTCTCAGAGGATTTACTGCAATTAGGGACTTCTTGAGTGATTTGTGCTACTCTGAATTCAGGTGATCAGAGGTTCTCAGAGAAGAAATGGAATCATGTCTTAAACTTTATTTCATAAGGATTGAACGAGTGCACATGTCATTTTATCTTTGGGTCAATTTCATATCAGCTTTAGTCTGAACTTTTGCAAAGATTAGATTTATACTTAGCACCTGGTTTAAATCCGGGTTACCTTCATCATATATCTAATTTTAAATCGGACTTTAACTGATATGGATTCTTGACTTAATCCAAATATATATGAATTGGCCCTTAATGTTATGTTGTAATTTATTAGTGACAGTGTTAATTTTTTTTCTGCTGTTTGCGTTTGTTGTTGCTTCTCCCAGTTGTGGGACACGCAGCACAATTTGTGTTGGTAGAAATCCATTCATAATTGAATGTTATAATGCCAAAGAAGCAGTGGGTATTGACCTAAGACTTGATGTAATCATACCTTGGCATGTGCTTGAATGCATTCTTTTTGTCAAATAATAAAATCCAAATAATAGTAATAACAAAATTGGCCAAAATAATCATGAATCAGAGAATAAATGAAACAATTTCCATTTGCTTTTGCCAAAGTAAATTAATTTTTAGTTATTGATGTAAAGTTCACATTGCACATGTGAGCCAAATATACCTAGGAAATTCCTGTATTAGAATTGTGGCTGCAGTCAAGATATTGATCGCAGGTCAATTAAATGTGAGAATATTCATAGCACTTGATGGGTCTGGGAGAAAATCCTTTAACAGTAAACCAGTTACTATATAGACACTGATTTGGTATTGAGGAAAGGCTGCTGAAGGGAACAGCAAATCCCTGTCAGTTTCTTTTTCAAATGATTAAATGTTTCATCAAAACAGCTGAACAGTCATGATTTGAAGCCTTATTGGCTTAATAATGGTACTTGAAAATGAACTGATTGCCTTGACAAGGGGCAATGTAATTAATAAAAGCAAGTGTAGTGTTCTTCAGGAGTGCTCACCAAACAGAATTAGATGTTACTCCTGCATTACAGCACTGGCTGGTAGTGTTAATTTATTAGCTGCCCAAAGCAGGGTGAAGATCCTGGCAGTTTATATGCTCAGTGATTTTTTCCCATAATATGAGACATCAAATTGAACCAATTTAGGCTGGTTAGAGCAGCAAGTAAAAAGATTCTCATGCCTCAGTGCATTCATTAACAGTTAGGAAAGACGTAATGGTATTTTTCATGAAAGGTCTTTTAAAGGCTGTCCTAAGAAAGAAAAAATAAAAACACTGCTGACCATGTATTAGTAGAAATGGTGACTCACTTGAACTTTGTAATTGCTCATTATGTATGTTTGTATAACAGTTTGTAAATGTATTTTTCATTGTACGTTAGCTACCAACAATACAGAAATAAATATACGACTTCATTTGTTGTTGTAATATGTTTGTCAAACCATTCTGATATAATTATGAAAAATAAGGAAAGTCCCAAAATAACTAAAATTTTATGTCCTTGTCTTTGTCAGTGTCATCGTTCATGTAGTAATAATTTGGAATATATATTCCAATTAAGGCTACTGTCTTTGCATTAATATTGTTTAATGCATCAAGGCCAATATTTTTAAAATATCTAAAGAGTCCACATGCCATGGTAGCTATGAGTTACAACAATCATCTATTATTAAAGTAAACAAACAAAGGGCATTTTCACTGGAAAGCTCATGCAAAAAAGGGGAAAGCTTTTGTTTTGGTCTCCTTGGTTGTCTGCGCCTCCCACACCATTCATCTCGATCTTCATCCCTTTGATCTCACCATATCTTTCTGTTCCACCATTTTCTTTCTTCTTACGCCAGTGGTCAAACATTGTCATTCTCTTTCTCCCTGTGCCTCTTTCACCATTAAACCTGCCTTCAGTGACATCCCTATGCAGTCCATAATGCCTCACAAAGTGACCAATCCATTTCTCAACGATGCCAAATTTTCAAAACACATGGCAATGCATTAATGTCTGGCAACAATCCTTCTTGCAGAGCACTTAAGGTAATGACTACAAATGATTCAACCTTAAATGATGTATACTTGTTCAAAAATGATGAAATTTACCTTTCAAAATTTAATGACCTGACAGGTTTTCCCTGTAGATGAAAGCATTATAAGTCCTGAAATCGAGGCCCTTTGCTTTCATCACAGGAAAAAGTCGCACTTGGATTGGACTGAATAAGGTGCTATTTAGAAGATTTATGCAGCTTTAACTGTACTCAAGCAGGTCTGCACAGCTTCATTCACATCAGAAGATTCTGATTTTTGTGCTCATGCTCAAAATTGTGAAGATCCTGCCCCGATTATAATTTGAACCTTTGCAGGTGCCATTTTGAATTCTTTGATGTAATTTTCTCTGTGTTCGAACATGGCACAAAGGTCTAGCAATGTTGGGAAGTGGAAGCAAGAAGCCTTTGTAATGATCCCATATTGAGATTCCTGTCACATTCTGGCAAGGTCCATTCATCATAATGTGCAGAAGTCGACTGGAAAAATGTTTTAAGGTCAGCTAATGCATTTTTTTAAAAATATTTTTGTGTGTGTGTTTAGGAGGAGGACATAAGCATAAAATTGAATATTACCTTGTGAAAACATCAGTCACAAGGGCTTCTGATCTTTTCTCCAGATTGCTTCTTCCAGCTTTTAACCTTTCTTTCTGTGTTTATCATATTTTTCACCATGCCCTCTCAATGAAAGAAAACGAAGGCAGTGTCAGATTAAACTGGAGGTTATATTTCACACATCATTTTGTAACTGGCAAACATGACATCAATAGCAGGGCAAATATAATCCCGATTATTACATCAACAAAATAACGTGCAAATTTTGATTGTATTTGAATCCTTTTACCATGGCCAAGCTTTATGAAATGTTTTACTACATCTTGTAGGTCATTTTGTTTAATGGGTTCATAACCCAAGTCTCTCCGACTCTTCCCTATATTGAAATAATGTGTAACACCTGTCTTGTAGACCTGAAAGAGAAAATAAATAAATAAATCATGATAATGTACTCAAGAAATGTTATTTTGTGTATTAGAATGGTTACCTTCTTGTTATGGCAATGGATATATAATGTGAATGTGCTCTACACCCCATTTAATACAAAACATCAAATGAGTATCTAGTTCGGCAACAAATTACATTTCTCCATTTTTACATACACACAGTTTTTCCCTCCATAATATTTTCATCTCATATTATAACACAATCTACAGAAATGCCACTGTATCTCATCATGACATTTTCACAACCAAATATATGCACAAATAACAGGAAAAAATTACATGTAGGGCCTCTTATGAGAATTGTGTACACTGCATTACATGGATAATGTCTTTGGGGAGATGTAAGGAGTGCTTGTACTACTGGCATTGTGCTAGTGAGGCCTGAAGAATACCTATTACAATTGTTGTTGCTGTCGGTGGACCTCATTCCTCATTCATTAAACAGTAAATGCTACAGGAAAGAAAGTAACTGTTGTGCCAAGAGCATTTTGGAGTTCAATTACAACAATTATTCTGAAAAACCTGTTGTACAACTACAGCAATAAGAGAGAGAGACTAAACCTGCATGTAGGGTATATTTCTATTTTGTTCAACTTCGTTACCCACCTCAGTTCTGGTCAACAATGGTTGAAAGTTGTAGACCTTGGAGACCATCAAATGAACCATCTCTGTTATAAATGCTGTGAACAAATACAATTTAATGTTAATGCATATAATAGATGGTAAATGTAAGCTAGCAGAATATCACAATAAAACCTAGCTGTTGCTTGGACTGTTGGATTTACTGAAGCAAAAAAAAAAAAAAAAAAACAGATTTATCAGCAATATTGCTGTGTAAGAGGCTTTTTAATCATTAAAGATCCTTTTAAGTTCTATGTTGTGTGCTGATAAATGAAATCACACGAGGATCTAAGATCACAGGTAGGCACATGAGCCAGTAATATAGAATTACATGCTTGAGCTTAAAAGCCAAGCTTGGCTGACATTAATTTTGTCTGCAAAATGTCTCCAGTGTCATATTTTAACAACATGTTTTTACAGTAAAAAAAAAAAAAATGCATGTTCACAGAGACATTAGCCACACCTGGATAGGATGGTCAGGATATCATTGAAATATTATGGTCAGGATATCATTGAAATATCTATATCTGGATATATTTGGCAATCAAATAATTGCCAAATAGTCTCCAGTTTAGCAAGAGTCTACATTTGTACTTGTAAACTCTATTGATTCAGTGGACATACGTCAGTGCTCATTTCCATTTGATTAATATTGTGAACAGATGATATCAAATGAAACATTTCAGAACTGGTTTTACTTCTGCCAATGTGATAAAATTCTATCATCAAAATGTAGCAGTGTATCTGATAAATCAAAGTCACTCAACATGCCACTGCAAAGATAACATATAAATTTTATTTTATAATTGTACATAAAGAGTTACAAATGGTATAACATGGAAATGAAAGAGGGGAACAACAATCAGGTTTTTTTCCATTTTTGCTTCTTGTTTTCACTTAAACCAATTGATTGACTTACCAAAAAAATACACGAGAGTCAAAGGTACATTGACTTTTGGATAAGAATAACCTAAACCTTCTACCTGTAAGTAGAAAAAAAAGCATATCATAATCATATCATTTCTACCACAAGTAGAAAAGCTGTTTCTCCAGGGTTTTGACAAAATACCAACACAAGAAAGGACAGCAAGACAGAAAGAAAAATTAACACAAACAATTTTTGACAGGTTGACAAAGCAAAATTTAAAAACAAACAGGTTAAGGCCCATGAGAGTTCAAAGTCACACCTTGAAAGTGCTAATGGGTGAACAATGTAAAATTCCACAAAAAATTGGAAAAAAAACATATCTTCCGGAAGCTTGAGTTTCATTTTAGTCCTAAGAATCATTCTTGTAAGTCTGAAATAATTAGTAACACAGTTTTTCTTTTACAGTGTTATTAAAGAAAATGGACGGTGATGGCAACAGCAACAACAGACACAGATGATTGCTAATGTCCAACACACAGTGTCTTCCATAGTATAACAGATACTGAAGCCGTTTAAATGATGTATTATAAATAATCAAGCAGTTGCCTGCCCAGCAGCAGTCCACTTGAGAGTGGAGAGGTTTGACATATAGATATACCACTGGGTGGTGACTGACTTAACTACAAAGGCATAATCTTATCTGCTGTACAAGTATTTTATTTTGGTTCATTCATGAGCAAGCTATCCCACTTATTACTAGCTATTTGGTTGAATTCAGCTGTTTAATACAGGTGAGTAAGGCCAGCATTTGCTTTATATAATTTTATGGTACATTGGAGACAAAACACTCAGGTAATGGAATGTTTCTTTGATTCAATTTGCAAAATCACTATTCCTTTAAGTATCAACTCCTCCTTATCTTAATTTCATTGCTGTGTCTGCATACATGATAATAACAGAACTTGTATCAGGCATAATGTTAGGCAACCATTAGAGGAAAACAATCGCGACATCTTACCATGTGAAAAATGGTACTTCCAGGCGCAAGATTGTTTAATTTTGCAGCTATTTTTCCTCAGATTGCACCAATTATTGAAAACTAATCAGGTAGATTATTCATCATTTTTCACAATTCTATGAGTCTACAGTGAACATATGATAATCCAGATAAAACAGTGATATTCTGGGAACTTACCAAGAAAATTTGTCTGCAACGGGTATTCTGCAAGCATGGTACTGGTAAACTTTCAGCAAACCAATCAACAGTTTTTTAAAAAGATGAATTTATTTCACTCCCCTTCACTCCCCCCCTGTAAAACTTTTAAAATAATTTTCTTCTACCCCCTCCAAAGTAAAAATCATTGCTCTGTCAGATCTATAAGCATTATACGTAATTAGGAAAATGGCCATTAGCCTACAGGTCTCTTCACAAGTGAGACCCGCATTTCTCACAGCCACAAAGTAGCATGCTATCTCCAATGCAATTAGTACTGGGAAATTGAATTGTAGGTGACTAGATTAGTTGTTATAAAGACTATAATAAGCCCAGCTGCACTGGCATCATACAGGACGCAGTGTAGTTCTATAACTAGCACTCTGAATTTGTAAAATTACCAATATGATTTCAAACAGAAAACAAAATCAATACTACAAAAGAAAAGTGGAACTTAACTGGTAATAGTGGTAATAGGGGTTTAGACAAAAACCATACCAGCACATATATCTAAATAACTGAAGCATAGGCAGATCCTGGGGATGGGGTGGGGGGGGAGGTAGGCAAAAATTGTCCCCTTCTGTATACCTTGTTCAGGCCTACCCAACTACCAGACTCGGCACCGAGTGATCCTAAATTCAATGGTAGATCAGACCACACTACCCGTTTTCAAGGTGTGTGTCAGATCGCATTACACAGTATCAGACGCGACACCGCTCTTGCCTAGTACGCGATGTGATAGTGACGATTCTCAGCGGGGTTGAAAAGCATTGCATCACCACTCAAAATTTGTTCAGGGTATGATACTGTGTAATGCGATCTGACACACACCTTGAAAACGGGTAGTGTGGTCTGATCTACCGGTGTATTCAGGATCATTCGGTGCCGAGTCTGGTAGTTGGGTAGGCCTGTTGTTGTGCCATTGTTTTTGGAGGGTGTGATTTTAGCCTGTGGATTATAAGATTAGGCATTAGGTTGTTGAAATAGGACTTTTACTGAATTCCAAAAGTTTGTGAAAAAGAATACAACTTACCAAAGGTCTAAAGAACTCAAAGTTATTGACAGGCTTGCCATCTGATATGAAATAGGTTTGGCCAGCCTGAAATAAAACATTAAAAATATTGTCACTTCTTTGGATCTTATGGCCCTTTTCACATTGTGTGGTGTACTTCTCTGTATCCTAATGTTTTGAGAGATGAACAACTTAAAAACCTGGTTTTTATGCAAGAGAGCCATCTAACTGGAGCCCCTATGCTCTCTCTCTCTCTCTCTCTCTCACACACACACACACACACACACACACACACACACACCAAACCTAGGGTATACCACACACACTTATCACACATCCTACCTTGGCACATACATTATAAGAATATAATGAGGTGTGCTTTTGTGTAGTACATGTAACACCATAATGCTCATAACATTGTTTATTTTAAATTTCCCAAAAAATATATAACATAAGATCAGTTTCAGCTTTGAGCACTGAAAGTCTCATGGGTGAGACATACTAATTCTGCTCCACCTCCCCCATTCCATCCCTTTGTACGTGAGCACACGCCCATGCATGCACACACCCACACTAGAACGCATGCATCAGCCAAACCAGCAATTTGTTGATAGGTATACAGTCTCATCATCATTCAACTGTGGTAAAGATTTTCCGGCTGGTAAAGATAAGTAAAATGCTCCTCAGTGGTGAAAAGATCGTTTATTGGATTATTGTCCCCTTCATAGCACGAGAAGAACTCACTGGGGAAATACAGTATCATCACTTTCAAAGAAAGACAGGCACAAGGAGTATACTTTTCCATTTTATGTGAAATTGATAGAGTAATGGCATTGCTAAGTGGGTTAATATTTTGGAAAAAAGAATAATGGACATGAATAAATATGGAGCCACTTAAAAAAAAAAAAAAAAAAAGAGAGAGAGAGAGAAAGAGACAGACAGAGAAAGTGAAAGAAAGAGAGGTGCAAAATAAGAAGAAACAAGTTAACAAAAACTAAGTCAAATTCTTAGACAAATCAACAACTTGCTCTTACAGCTATATGTTCCTTTTCTTTAGAAAGTGCCTTTCCTGCCAGAAGATGTGCCAGCACCAAGTTCTCCACATGGAGAAACTCCACCAATGAATCCCTAGCACCATACGTCACTGCAAACAGCCCACGTTCTATGTAAGACTGGAAGACAAAAATACTTTGTAATTATGATAATCACTTGCTATAAAAGATAATCAAATCAAAATCCATACTTTGGTTTGTTAAATGATGATATAAGTGATCAAATATTAGTTATCTTAAAAAATAATGACAGTCTAATAATATTCTCCTACATTCAAGAACAAAAACGTCTCATAGACTATGCATGATTTCCAACACATATTTTTTTCATGATACTATTTAATATTAATTTTCATTTCCTGCCACAGAAAAAAAGGGAAGTAAGCCCAAGATATCACTATCTCCACAAATATTGCACTAACATTGTGATACAGGACTTGCTCACAGGTATACGCACTCATTACCCACACATCAATACCCAGTGGACAGTTTTAAACAAAGGCTGCGATCCTGAAAGTAAGTTTATCATTTCTGTCTTGGGATCAGCCTGAGCTGGGCCACTCAGTAAGTTTATCATTTTTCTGTCTTGGGACCAGCCTAGGCCAGGCAACTCAGCAAGTCAATTTCATTATTAGTTATGAAAACCCCTGCAATTGCCAACAGCCATGTTCGAGATAGGTATCGCTCAACCTAGAGAAAACTCCCACGATGGTTCTGCATGTAATTACTAGAAGACTGTCAAGACAATGACATGTAGTGAGAATGATGAAATACCAAGTTACTTCTGTCCTTGGACAAAGCATAAACTTTCACAAGGTTTTCACAAAGTTTACCTTTTATGTTATATCAAATTGTGAAACTGAAAAAAAAAACTTGGTTTGCAGGGATCTCAAGATTAACACTATATCAGACATGAGCCTAGGTTTAAATAAAACCTCTGAACATTTATCATGGGACCCATTACACCTATTTTATTGCAGATCTTGACGGATATCAGGAACCATCAGAATTGCATTAAAAATGCGGAATTCCACGTTTCCGCAGAAAAAAGCTCATGTCTGCCATATTCACAAACATAATTACATATTATTTCTTTCAATTTTTTTTCATTTATTTATTACAAAAAAAGGCAACAGAAAGGGGAGAATTAACTCCACTCTTGCTTAATAAATAGGATTTTTGTAGTATCTGACATTTTGTGCATTAAGTAAAAAAAATAAATCTTATTATACGTCACTGCAGAAAGGTTATTGTCTACTGAATTCTCAGTAACAGCTCAACTGATGTTTTGGCACGTAATTCACCATTGTTGAAGCAAGATCTTATTCAAGCTACTGCAATGTTAGTTTTTTGGGGTAACTGTTGTCTTTTAAATTTCTTTCACTTAGTTCTTTTTTCTTTCATGATAACATGCGATTTTTTGCGGCTGCCACATATATATATATATATATATATATATATATATATATATATATATATATATATATATATACCTCTAAACCTGATACTGAGAGATGCCTTTTCAGCTGTCCAAAATCAAGATCCTTTGATTCACTTTAATGTCCAGAGACATGTACATACATATTTAATATAACAGGGCAAACAACTACAGTATCCACAGTAAAGTGGCATCAAAAAGATACTGATAAATTTATATATTTTGGATGTGTATTATTTATTTAATATTCAATCCTTACTTTTGGAAGAAACTCTTTAAATCTATAGTACAATGTAGTAGAGTTAAACAGCAAAACCCATCAAATTGTACTGACACTATAAAGAGAGACTGATCTAGATCTAATCAGTTTTGTGAGATGAATGTTTTCCATGAAATCCCATATGACCCAAAATAAAAAGGAAATGCATGAATTCTTAGATATATTTCCATCTTCCATTTTCTCTATTCAACCTTTCCTTGACATCTGAATGTACAGCAAATAACAAAACCCTCAAAATTACCCACCCTAATACATAAAAAAGCCAAAGCAAAAATGAAGAAAAAATAGACTTGGAGCCAGACCTATCAGATGCTGTTTACTACTTCTAACATTTAGAGAAATGGATGATGCTTTGTGGAGTTACTGACAGACATCATCAATTTCAATACCATATTTTGCATCTGTTTTATCATGTATAAAAATTCAGGCAATGTTTTTTTTAAACAAATATAATTATTTATACCCCCAAAGCAGGTATAATCAAAATATGTAATTATACACTGTACTGTATATTCTAATTTGATATACTGGTATACAAATGCAAATTCATACAAAAAACACACTTCATGTTTCCATAATTAAGATATAGGATCTCACAATGTGTGCATTTTTTTTAGCTCTATGTATGCAACATACTAAGATGTCACATAAAAGCCATTCCATGTCATTTAGTTGGAAATATTTACCAGCCAGAGAGACCAGAGAACTGCACGTCATTTTACATGCTGCTTAAAACCTGTTAAGCTGTTGACAAAATGACATTTCCGAGAATTGCGGCCTTCTTGCTCTCCACTGCTGTTGCTGCTCTTGAGTAGCATCAGGCTTCACTGACAGCAACCTTTCTGTAATTGTTCCAGGGTTATAAATACATCAAGTATCTTTCCATTGTAATCAACAGAACATTACCGCTCTATGAATCCGACATTTCAAAAGTATTTTGGATTTTTTTCCAAATATTCTGTAAATCTTTAAATGTAATTTTTAGCATTCCTTATGCAGATTTTTAAGCTACAGCTAGAAAACAATCAATCCTATATGTATGTTATGAACAAAACCATTATCATCATTGTATGACATCTTACCATTTAACAATGGACCTTCATTGTCTTTTATGACTTTATCATTACATGACACGAATGAGGCTCCAAGACAATATGAAAATACAAAATACAACACTTCTCAAGCCAGCAAACACCACAATGACATCTTTATTTCAAATTTAAATATCTTGGACAAAACTGTAATTTTTCAGCCCATCAAATTGCACTTCAGAGGAACTAAATGGCCAGAATAACATAAGTGTCACAATCGATATCTATTGTTTTTGATCAGTGAAGTGTAAACTTACAAGCCATACCCTAGGGAATGCAATGAGAGAAAATGATTCAAACCAACACTAATGTGATCAAGGAATCAAGGGTATATTCTTGCTCTGATTTAATTCTAGAATACATGATTCTCACGAAAATTGCATTATGAAATGAGACTTAAGGTTGTTAAGAGTCTTCTTCCCCAACAGGAATGGCTTCATTGTTTTGAATCGCTCAGCTGTATGAATATCTGCCTGAAAGTTAATACTGGATTCTGCCACTATGATCCAAGTAGTGATGACATGAAAATTAACATGCCTTTGTGCATAAATTAATTCTTTTCTAATTTGATGAAGTACTTTTCACTTCAAAATAATAATAATAAAAACTCTAATTTCTTACTTTTTACAATATCTTCATATTTACTGTCAAGGTTCAGCATGAAGATGATAACAATAACCTGTCAGCTGGCTATAACATTGCCAACACAAACAACAGTTCAACACAATTACACACCATACTTAAAATAAAATTCATTCAAATATTGTCCGGGAATTTCAACTCCAAGCCTGATTAGATGGAAGGAAATTGACTTTCTACCTTGAAAAGAATGCACTATATGTCCTCCGTACAAGTCAGAAATCCCTGAAAAGGTGACATTTCTGCCACATTAACTTTGGGTCATGTTTAATATAACCTGACCATTCCATGAGCAGAAAATAGCTATATTCATAACATACATCAACAACAACAACAATAATAATAAATTTCTTTGATTTTTTTTTTCATTTACGTCAGCCTCAGTGATGCCTAAATACAGGGAGTGTACATGTACTTGGAAGTAAATTTTTCTGGAAAAAATGGCTAACTTTATTGATTTATCAACTGAGCAGTAAATCATAAGGGATCACCAAGTAAAACTGGATTACACTTCCCTCTCTCCCATCAATACCAAGATTTTCTAGTAATCCTGGCAATATTTTTCAAAATGCTCCTCTGGGGCACCAATACTTAAAAGCCCCGACCACCATGCATTTTCCTCACACACCTTTCAATTGTACACATTGCAGGGCATTAACCCTAACTTTCAGACCCAGCAGCATGGAAAAAAGACCTCCAGAAACTCGACAAAATTTGGCATGTTCTGATGGGACAGGAGGTAATCCTGCAGAATACTGCAAAGTCAGGAACTGTTAAGTCCACTACAGCAATCAGTCAATGAAAACGGTATCTACTCCTGCACTGATAGAATAAACATACAGCCTACACAGCGTCAATAGTGGAGTCGGTGTCATAGCCTGAAAATTCATTTGCTTGGATCACTGAGAAGAACTAAAGTACCCAGAGTCAAGTGAGCCTCAGGCAAATGCTGCTTCTCATCAATACTGGTGACAGAGCCATTGGTGGTGTCAGAGACATAGGGTGTGACATACAACTGGGAGGCTCTGTTGGTGCTACTGATGAAAACTGCATAAAAACTGTAAGTAATTTCATAATTAACTAATTGATGTTATTTTGATATGATTTCGGTCGTAAGTGTTGATAAAAAAAGGAGGATTTCCAGGGATGTAGGGGCGTAATTCTGGAAATTGACTTCTGTCACAGGAAAACATTGGAAAAATCAAATTACTTTGGAATTTTTTCATCTCTGGATATACTGGTATATTCAACTAAAAATGTTCCGTAAGACATACCCTAAATGTTCAGTAGAAACAAAGGCATTAAAGCAAGTCACTGGAGTTTTTGTTTTTGTTTTGTGTGTGTGTTTTTTTCCATTTACAAGGAAATTACAGTCATGTACGTACGTGGTTTCCATTTTGTACATTCTGTTACAGTTTTTGGCTAATTGCTGTTACCATTCTAAAAAAGGTCTCCAGATAGTTGTTAAGTCATCATTCGTAACAATTGCCAGGTTTTTGTGACAAAAGGACTAATTAACAGTAATTACCAAGCAAGCCACATCTCAAGAGAGTTTGTCACACATAAAATGGCAATTCTTGTCATTAATCTGACAGAAAGAATAGGTGAAGATACTTGGCGAGGTGGTTATGAAAGGATGAATGAATAAAAGCATATGCCATTTCATTAATTC